ATATTTTCCTCTCTGAACGAGTTTATATATACACTTACTTATCTCTATGAGAAAGGAACGAAAAAAAAATTAAATATATATATAGTTAGGGGTACTGTCGTCGCATCGCTATTTCTAACTTCCTACAGGCTCACATAGATCATAGTCCGAAGAAGAAACGTGAATAGTAGATTGTCTGGGTATTCTACTAGCCGTAGGACGAAGGTATCAATGAAAGCAGAACCAACTGCGACTACCCGGAACGATCATGGACGATAACTTCTTGGTTAAGAGTCCTAAACAATGGCGGATATTGGTATCACTCGTGGAACGCTTAGATACCTTCCTTCTTTCTTTCTTTCTTTCCTTTTCCCTTTAGCAATCTTCCTTTCTCGCTTCCTATGCTCAGTTGCCGACAAGGCGGTCGCCGATTGCAATTTGCCGATAGGATTCTACCTGCCGCGTTGAACGTTCTACTCTCTTTCTTTCTTTCTTTCTTTCTTTTGAGTATCTCTTTCTCTTTCTCTCTCTTTTTATCTTATTCTTTTTCTCTTACTCTTTCCTAAGTAAAGTTAAAATCTTGAAGATAGGATAGGATTGGCCAGTTTGTAGTACTCGGTAAGAAGAGATACATCTTTCCCTCGGTAACTACCCATAGAGCATTTCCTAAGCGGCACGGTGGTTCTTCGTTCGTAGTAGACCGACTGGTCAATATGTATCGCACCAAGGGCTCTCAAGGTATGCCGAGTGCTATACTATAGTATACGGGCGGCGTGTGTGCCAGAGCAACGCAATCCTGCCACGAGAGAAACGAGATACCAGCGAGATACAGTCCTCTTGCAACTAACTGCAGCTCTATTACCTATTCGTTTCGTGCCCGCGAGTCTAATACCTTCTACGTGAGGATATACTTAACCTCGGATTAGGATGCCACTTGTCACTACGAGAGAGAGAGAGAGAAAGAGAGAGAAATAATCTTTGATTTTATTGTTATTGTTAAAAAATTGTCAAACAACGCAAAAATACTTTCTTAATTTACCTGTGAAAATAATCAATCAACGCGACAACTATACGATTTACACATGTGCGTTAAAGTAAATACAAAATTTATAATTATTCGATAGATTCAATTTTTCAAATACCGTTCAATAATAAAATTTTCAACGTTTCTCGAATGTTTTTCACTTTTATTATCAAATTTGCATTTCTATATATAAAAGGCACGAAATGAATTTTCAATTAGAAACTAATTGTAACTTAGCGCGGGTTCTAGATAATAATATATAGATATACATAAAAGTATATTTTATCGAAAATATTTGTAGATTTTTAGCTTAACCATTGGCATTTTATTAACAAGTGGGATAAATCAAGTTGACAATTTGAGGACAAATCGATAGAGAGTATAGGAATGTAATCGACTACCGATTAAGAGAAGCATCATTGAATCAGTCGTTGGAGAGAAGAGAGACGTTCGTGGGAGCTTGTCGGAATAATTAATAATCAGCGAGGCGTTGACGCGTTCTTCGTTCAGCCGAGCGGTCTTCGAGGCTTGTACTTGGAAAAGTACTTGGAAAGACCCTACGTCGGCTTTCGATTCTGTGCGTCCGATAGTCACGGCCGTCCGTTCTCCACTTCGGTGTCATTTCATCAATTACGAGCGTGGATGGAGATACGGGAAAGAAAGAAAGAAAGAAAGAGAAAGACACCATGGTAGTGGTGGTGATAGTGGTGGTGATGGTAGTGGTTGGGATACAGGAGTGTTGGAACGTATACAAGAAGGAATCGGAGTGCCAACCCATCCGTGGGCGTTCCAAGCGATTCGCTCGAATAGTCGCGAAACGATTCGCGAGAGAAACTCTCGGACCTTTCCCATGAAGAAGCGTCCATTGACAGCCGGAGAAGTGTATCACAGAGGATCCTAAGTGTAGTTATTCCAAAGAAAATAAAAGCTTTACCCTCTCCTCCTCCTCTTCTTCTTCTTCTTCTTGGTCTTCTTCTTCTTCGTACTTCGTCCTCATCCTCCACTTCTCCTCCTTCGGTGGACCCCGATTATTAATGGCCGCGGTGGTGGTCGTCCGTCCGTGCAACACGGGCGCAAAAGTGTACATCCGGTTTTCTACCAAGACTCACCTCCTAGAAACCTCCCGACGTGCCGGTTGCCACCGGTGCAGGACGAGAGCGGACGACCTTGCGCCATTCGCTTAGGAACCGAAAAGCAAAACCAACACGCGCGAACATAAGTCCTTTTCCATACCACCATACCCAATACCATTATACCTACCCATACGTTTCGTCTTTATCTTATATACGTACTGTCTTTCGTCTTTATCAATGTTTCAACGTCGTTCGTATTCCATCATAATATTATTCCTTTTTCGTCTATTTAAATATTTGATCTAATCATTTTTTTTTTTTTTTCAACGTACTCAATAATAATATTACGAGCCGATCATTTATCGATGATCAATTTCGAGTTAATTAAAAATGTCTATATCATTAAGTATACACTTTAAACAACTTTCGAATGAAAAGCAAAACTTATATATGCAACATTTAGATAGATATCTTTATAGTCATCAATATACCAACAACATAACACGAGGATAAAAAAGTATATAATGAAAATATTTATTTTCTATAAGCTATATAATTATCGACAATCTCGTAACTTTTTTTTCTTGTTCTTTTCTTCTCTCTCTCTCTCATACTTTTTTACTGTATCGAACGATCACACACAGTTTTCTTTCCCCAAGCGGAATACTCACACATTCCATTTGGCAGTTACGCAGTTACGCGCGCATACGCTAACGAAGGATCGGCCAGAACGACCTTCTCGATACCCATTACGCCTCGTTCGTTTATTTTGCGGCTTTACGCGTTACAGATCTTACTGTAATGCCCCTTTGTACAGCGCCGTGATTCCCCCTTATTATATATTTCTTATGCCATCGGCACTCTACCTTACCTTCCACCAACTTTTCTATCTCTTTTTGTATTTTCTTTTTTTTTTTCTTCTCTCTCTCTCTCTCTCTCTTATTCGTTAACTCGAAAAAGATAACTCTGGAATCGTTTCGATCCTTACTTTTATTTATTTTTATTATTCCAGATCGTTTCTGTCGCCATAATACAAATAACGTGAGATTATAGTTAACCCACCGTAGATATACCTATGTTATTTTTAAATCCCTACACTTTTTATATAACATCGAATGAGTATCTTAGAATGAGCTTCAAATTATATTAGATGATTTCAAATATTCATTTCTAATTTTTACTCAAACTTTTTACACTCTAACTTTTTATCTAATTGCAAAACTACAAACTTAAATTAAAAAAAGTCTCGAAAACAGAGTATAATTAATTTGTTGATTATATAAAACATGATGGATTATTTGATTGTTGAGTAAATTAAAAATCAATGCTCTGAAGTATAGGAAACAACCGTAGTATCCAAAAGAGAACTGTGTAAAGTTAAGAAGCCAAGGTAGAAAAGGATAAGGGCGGAGGACTGTGACGCGCATACCGTAGGGGACAGGTGGAGAGGGAAAAGAATGGGCTGGAAGGAAAGTAAACGACCTATCCCAATCTCGAAGGCCCACGCCGAGTCCCAAACGGTAGAGGGTTTCAGAGTTGGGAAGAAAGAAGGAAAGTGAAAAGAAAGGAAGTAAAGAAGGATGGATGATATGGAAAGATGGATAAGAAGGAAAGAGAAAGATAGGAAGGTCGGAGAAGAATAAAGTTGGAGCGTGAACACACGCTGCTGGTATATAAAGAGTTAACAGGGCGTTGCGTGGGTCACGATGCCCGTGAGATACGAATACACATGTGTACACACGCACACGAATAAACGCATAAGTACAAGACACGCGTCACCAGACATATACGCATATAAGTTGTACATGATAGGAAGGCACACGTCACGAATTACACGCGTGCATGCATACATATACCCCATCGGTATGGAAACTCATACAAATATCCATACAAATACGCATACAATACAAAAAGGAAAAATATTGAAAATACACATACAGAATGAGATCGTAAGTTTACCTCCCCCCCCCCTCCTCCTCCTTTATCTTTTTCTTCTCGTTCGTCGTCGTAGTCGTCGTCGTTCCTGGCACGTACTCGTTATGGAAACCACCAAAGGATATTGTTGCTCGTATATATGGAGAGTACCAGGGAAGCGAACAGGACTTGTACTATGCAGATGATTCCGCGATATGGGACTATTCATTGTGAGTCATTTAACAGTTTATGCGCCGAGTACTACGTGCTTGCTCGAATCTGTGCAATGTGTTATTATATTGCTTATCGAAAGCCTATCCACCTCTTTCCGCGTTCCCCTCTTACCGACTATCCTATAATAACGCGCGTGCCACTCTTTCATCGTCAAATCCTTGCTAGCTACTTCGTATTAAATGACTGAAAATAACTCGATAGTTAGTCGAGTAGTCACATATACGCGCGCGTCTAGGATTTATTTTATTATTATAAAAAGAGAAAAATAAACGCAAAGAGAAGAATTCTTGCTCGAGACTACCAATCACCATCTATAAGACGTGCACTCTCAAATTAGAGACAACTAATTTATTACACTCTGATTAATGATCTACGTGGAATCCTAAATCTAGATATATACCCTGCGCATATTAATAGCTCCAGAATCTATTGGTTAAGGAAGAGGAAAATGTTCTTACTGTTTTGCATATCTTGCGGCGTTAAATAATCCATCATATTACTTTCGATTAAACATTATCATTTCCTCTCGATAATACGCGTCTTATAAACTTCTACAACTTATCAAAATTGTGTGTACGTGAAAGCGTCATTTTATTTCTTATGATTTATTTAAAATGCATAAAATGGTGTCATTAAGAAACATGCTAAAAGATATCTATATATATATATATATATATATACTCTGTTAATTGTGTTCATATTATACTTAAATTTTGAACGTGTTTTCTTTTTAAATAGACTTTTGTTTTTAATTAATTATCCAACGTTCATTACAGGAGGACTATAGTCAACGAAGACGATTATCCACGCCAAGCGGAAGTCCAAGTCCACCGAGGCCAACAAGGCTCTCGAGATCTACCGGTACCCTAACCAGAGACGAGGACTCCTTCTGCGAGTCGAGTAACACGCTCACGAGAGAAAATCAAGGACAAGAGGCTGAAAGGAAGGGATGGTTCAAATCTTTATCACGAAAAAACAAATCCAATACAAAGGTACATGCTCTATGAACTTAACTTATATCTAAATATTCAAATTCAAATTAAATTAAATCACGTTCGCGAATATTTACAAATAATTGCACCCACGTGTGGCAAATCTCTAATAAAATAAAAAAAAATAATCTCTTAATTATTCCAAAGGATTTGTGCAACGAAATAAAAAAAAATATCAGTGGGAGGACGGAGGGGAAAGGAGGAAAAAAATAAAAAGAAAGAAAAATATCAATAAGCCCTCGTAATTATAATCTCTTATATATATATATATATATCTCTTTCTCTCGACACGCTCGAATGAACGATGTTTCTGACTCGTTTTGTTTCTTTCTTTTTTTATTGCTCTTTTCAAAAAGCCGTTCTGCAAGATCGCGTTATATGCGTGTAAAAAGAAAAATAAATAAGAAAAATGATATCGCGATAGAAGGTATGGAAGTTAAAGAAGAAGAAGAAGAAGAAGAATAAAAAGAAAATAAATCGCGGAGGTGGTGGCACCTGTTTAAGGGAATCGTCGCGAACGAGTCCTCCTCCTCCTCTTCCTCTCGTGGAATATTTCCGGGCATGACGTCAACTACTAGTCGTCGCGACGAGGAGGCGGCTTTTCAAGGTTCGACAAACAAGTCCATTCCGAAGTTCTTATCCGAATCCGGCATAGTTTGCAATCCGAGTGGGCGAATTAGAAAAATAGAAGAAAAAATAACACGAGTTTATGCATTCGTTCGATATTCTAAGGCTGTAAAAAAAAAGAAAAGAAAAGAAAATTACTCCGAGAAAATAACAACGCGTATCTTTCGTATCGATTTTCAAAACTTACGCAAATTTTATTTCAATATCATTCGTATTATTATAAATTTATTTTTATACGAAATTCTTTCTCTCTCTCTCTCTTATTTCTCCATGAATTTGTCTAATAAAAATAAACAAAAAAAAATGTCGAAGTATATTGCATCGCACAAAAGTTCGCGAATACGAGATCTCTATACTTAAATCTTGTTATTAACAATAGTAACGTAACAACATGTTTAGGTATAAGCAGAATAGCAAGGAGAACGTTTCCATATCCGATCCTTCCCTTGTTAGGTACGGGCCCGTACGCGAAGCAGAGGCCATTAGACCAATACAACCTCCAATTACCGGTTTGATTAAATGCTTATCTAACTCCGCGCTCTGTGGTTTAATTTAATCGCGAGATTAAGTGCCGATCGAAGGGCTGCTTAGTTCTCTTTCTCTCTCTTGAATATCCCAACAAGGAGAGAACGAGAACACCGATATTTCGATCCTTTCTTCCTTCCTTCCTTTCCTTCTTTCCTTCTTTCCTTCCTTCCTTCCTTCCTTCCTTTAGAACACGATCTTTGCTTGAGGTTAGCCCTAAAGCTATCTTGGATAGCTGCATAGAGATGATTGCGTGCACGTGAATCTCGGTTATGCAGGATGATCTATCGAACGATCGATGAACGGACCCCGAACGCTCGCTTTCACGAGAAACTAAAGAGAAGCCAGATTTTCTCATCTATTATAAACTATATAAAGTTAAAACTATTATATATATATAAAAAAAAAAAAAGAAATATTGTGTTTTCTTTTTTCTCCCTCATGCCTCCTCCCTTCCTTTCCTTTTCTACGAATTATACTTTTTTGATGTATTTTATAATTATCGAGAAAATATATAAGGATAAATTATTGTAGAAGAATGAAAGATCTTAAAAGAACAATATTTTTATTTACGAATTAGATTTAAAAATATAAATCTGTTAAAATATAAACTGTTTTTCTTTCCTTTTATACTTTTTTTCTCTCTCTCTTTCTTCAATATTTTTGTTTGTATTTTATAACGATCGAGAAAATATGAGATTGCGTGAGCTAAATTATCTTCTTCTTCTTCTTCTTCATTTTTTGTTGTTTTTTTTTATTAAGAAAATATGATTACTCCTCCGAGAGGACTATGGTAGAAGAATTTTTGTTTCGTCAAGCTTTATTATGTTTTTGTAAAGATCGATAGATTTGAAATTAGTTAATCTATAATAATAAATGAACATATGTGTATATATAAATTTCAGAGTGTGGATAAGAAACCAAGAATACCAGAAAGTGAGATCTTGACGACCGGAACGGAGGACGAGGAGGCATCGTCCGCACCGGAACGAGTTTCCGTTCAAAAGAATCTTCGCTTCTTCGGCGACACCGATCAGGAATCGGTCTCATCGAACCGTGATCACAGGTAAGTAATCAAACATGCCTACATGATTTATCACTTTTATCGTGAAAAATAAATATTTCTATTTGATATTCTTATAAACGCGTATTTATAAAAAAAAAAGAAAAAAAGAAATGAAATGAAATTCATTTGAAATTATGAAAAAAAATGCGTTTAAAAACGGTTTATATCGAATAAATTCTTATTTTATATATATATATTTGTATAGAAATATAAAATATAGTTATTGTATTAAAAAGAAAAAAAAAAAAAATTACATTTTAGGAACAAACGTGTCGACGAGCGTGGCTGTACAAAACGTGACGTCAGCAATTCGAACAGGAGCCATAATCTCGGCATAGTCTCGCCACCAAGGAAACCACCGAGACTTGCCGAGAGTGCACTTTCTTCTGGTGAGAGTACTACCGGTGACAGCAGTCAACAGAGCCAAAATTCCCAAAGATCGCAGAGATCAGTCGTGTATTTGCACGCGACTACGAGTAAGTATACAAAAACTTATAATTTCGAATAGAGTCATTAAAATTATTTCTCGAAGCGTTGACAAAATATTTACATACCTTTCTCTCTATAATTAAATATTTATATAAATAACATATTATTTTTATTTAATATTTATTTCATATTGAATTTATATAAATTCCCCACTCCCCCACCCTATATATATATAATTAAAATAAACTTTCCTTTATAGAAATTTTCTAAGAATAAAATAATCGTGCAACACCGTAACCACCACCCTATTTATTCTTTCAAAGAGTTTGAATTTAATAAGATCAGCTTGTCGGTTATCAATAGTTACGTGAATCGCATTTAACTCCGATCGATAGTTCTACTAGTAAAGATTAAACTTTCAACATGGTAATACAAAGTTCACGAATTTTTATAGTCGGCGAAATACCCGGACCGAACGAACGACGTAGAGCAGCGAGTCGAGAGGAACTCAATCGACCTCTGCAATCGCACACGAGAACCGTGTCTAGGAGCGTGAGCGTTTTAGCTCCTTGGAAACCGAGACACTACAGGGAACCTTTCGAAATCAATTATGATCAACAACAACATCAAAAACCAATGATGACTTTAAGACGTAGACAAAGAAGTCGCGAGACGCTCACTCGTAGGGGCAAGGAAGCCCGACGAAGCAAAGACAATCTTTCGAAAACCGGTAAATAATTTAAATAATTCTATATATATATATGATTAAAATCAATTTAAAAAAAGGAGATTATTTCTTCGATCATTTTTTGTATTTCTTCTTTTCTTTTAATTATTTCATACGATAATAAAACATAGCATTTAAATATAATTTCTTATTCGTTGAAAACTAATTGAATATAATTTTGATTCGATCTAGGTACGATCAATCGCAGTACGTTGAAATCAAAGGACAAGCAGAAAGTGGACAGGACCGTTTCCACGGAATCGTTATCGACGAAATCTCGGAGCGTGAGCTCGAAGCCAGAGCTCAGTAGGTCAACATCCGTACCACGTGATCCAAACAAGAGCGCGGGATGGTTTAAGATAAAGAGCAAAAAATCCCGGGCCTAAAGAAAAGGCCATTGATCAATGCTAGTCTTGAGTTTCATAATAAGTAATATTTTCGTAATCGTTAGCGGCTGAAAATTAACAAGTCGGATGATTATTCATCGCCAATTAAACGGCGTTGTGTGACAAACGACGGTCTTTTAATTTTTATATATTTTTTTTCTCTCTTTCTTTTTTTTTTTTGGCCTCTCTTTGTTCTATTATTTTATTTTATTTTATTTTATTCTACTTTATTTTATTTTATTTTAATTTTATTTTAATTTTATTTTAATTTTATTTGTTTTCACATATCTTTGTTTGTTCTTATCTCTCTTTTAATCTATTACCGTACAATGCGAGCGAGTGAGATAACACATTTAATCTAATTAACATTTTAAAATACATTACATTTGTACGAATCCGATTTCTTATGGGAAAAAAAACAAACATATAAACAAATAAATCTGAACAGCGAAAACTACGCTCGATACTTTTATATGCGTGCATTCGTATTACAAAATACACAATTATACGATCTAACCATTGTTTAAAAATCTTTATTTTCTTTGTTATTGCAAATCTCGTTGTAACTTTATATATGCTTTTTTCTTTTACAATAATTAAAAAAATATCTCTAAAAATTTGTTGTTCTAACGTAACAAAGATATATATATATGTATCGGTACTAACAAATAAAAACTCGGAGAATTTTGGCTTTGATCGTAGACGCAAGTATTCATATTTGATGAAAGATAGCCGAATGAATAATAAGATTCATAAGAACAAACTCATGCCACGCGGATCTTGAAATTGAAATTGATGAAAATATTTATGAACGATCGAATAAATTAACGTGTACGTTTAAAAAGCCTTCTCTCTACCAAATTTAGTCGTTTAAATTTGTTGCATAAGACGAGAATGCATCGGATTCAAACAAAACAAAAATTAAAAAAAAAGAAAATTCGAACAAACGTGGCACATATGTGTAAAAGATTCGTGCTCGTTCTTTCTCATCTCTTTCTCCGATTTAACTGTCAACGTGTTAATTAATTAAACGGTATATAACATACTATATACGCGTAACATAATTTATAAAAAAAAAAAAAAAGAACAGAATTTTACATTACCGTGAATGCGAGTGCCATTTACATTTGCATAGATCTTTTATATTTTAAATATAAATCAAAATATAATAAAAAAAAAAAAAAATACGATTTGCGATATGAAAAAAAAGAACACTTAAATACACGAATAACCAATCATTTCACGAGTCGCGTTGTAAAAAATATAAAAACCAACAAACACGTACTTGAAAAATAACGACGAGTAAACAAATTTCTTTTGTTCATAAACTAATGTAAACATTTCTTCAACCCTTTTTCATATTTTTTCTTTCTTCTCTCATGCTTCTTCATGTATATACTTGTAATATTAATCCTTATTGTTTACAATTGTTATACTTTAATCTCTAGATCTTTCCTATACGAACATCCATTTGTCACTAAATGATCACGATCATCATTAACGGCTATGATTTTCACTTGGGAAAATATAATAATTTGTTACACAAGAGAATCCCCTTTTCTTATATTACTTTGTCTCAACATTAATATGACAACAGAGTAAACGATAAGCATAGAACAATTTTCTGTTGTACTGTGATACACCGTTATGCTGTTAAAAGAGATCGATTAAGTTAGTGACAAAAATAGTCATCCGCACCATAAGTTTCATTTCTATTTGGTGCTAATTATATGTGTATGTACATATGAATCATTAAGGACTTGCATGTAAATATCATGGATATATGGATGGTCTGTATTGGTTTACTGATAAATTTGTATTGTCCATTAACATAGTTATTAGTCCTTTCACGCAACATGTGTAAGAAAAATAATATTAAATATGTACGGAGGCTTAGGACTCCGGTGACAAGTTATATTTTGTAACATGAATAACAATTTGAAATAAACGAACATAATTTCAAAGGATTTCAAAACGATATCATAAAAGAATAAGTGTTTTATCAATCACAACAGCATAATAATAATACATTATACGTATATACATATATATATATATATATATTTTCTAGCATGTTTCTCTCATATAAATTTGTTTATTACATAAATGTTTACTAACTAATAAGCTTTGCTCGTAAAAAGACAAAAAATCGAATCTAGTTTGTCATCTATCTGATATTGCTTCTACACCAATCGAAGTAATATTCTCTAAAACATATCTTGCATTCTTATATAGAAGAAAATTATTCTACCAAATACATTTTATCCCAACAACATAAAGTTGTTCCTGTTAATATCAATATCATTCCAATATATGTGTCTGAAACATGATATTGCAGAACTCATTAAATTCTTCAAAAAAAAAAAAAGATTAAATTAATAAATATTAAATTTCCTACTTTTCTCCGCTCTCTTCTCTCCTAAGATCCAACCAGTTACGGCAGTAATCACAAAGGTAAGAGAATTCGAAACAGGAACTGCCAATGATATATCAGCACCTTGCAAGGCGAAGTAATACAGTAAAGAACCGATTTGATTGAACAGGAATGGTGTCATATACTAATAAAGATTAAAATCAATTAAAATAAAATAGCTATCAGTACTGCGTATAGAACAGAAGAGAAAAAGAAAAACAGTAACCTTTGCGTTGGTAAAAAGAAAATAAACTTCCTTAAAAAATTGACCATAGCTGGAGTTTGCTTTTACATTTTCTAAACCGCTAGCACCTTTCTTTATCAATGGATTAGTTATACCCCATAAAAGTGCCACGAGGACAAGGTATATCATAGATTCTAAAAAATATATATGAAAATGTATATGGTACCAGTAGTGATGAAACTAATACAAATTCGATACAGTCAATGCTGCTATTTTAAAATAACCTATTGATTTTTTACCCATAAAAATACATTGTTGCATAGCTCCTATGCGCTAACTTATATCTATATAGTATTTTATGTCTATTATTTCTTTACATTTGTTGTTAGTTTAAAATTGTTTTTTATTTGTGTTAAAACATTTTACAAGAAGTATCATTTTAGACAGAGTTGATAATATATATATATATTTATATATTATTTAAAAATTATAATATGTATTGATACTTCCTATAGAATGCTTTGGTATTAAAGTGATTGAATATCATCGGTATAATTAATATCAATCCAATTAATAGTATTTTAAAAAATGACAAGTAGTACATTCTTACCTGAAATCATTCTTAAAATATAACCTATTACACAAATAATATAAATCACTACGATTTTTAGGTGTACTTACAAAACTATCACTTATATTTAATACAATTCTGAATTAACAGCTTATCTCTAAGATCTAAAGAATAAGAACGAACTGATCACATCTTTTTTTTTCCGTATTACGTAAAAAAACAATTATAATTAATATCGCCGTTCACCTATGCAAGACCTATTAATTATGTTTGTTATTCTGTATAGAATTCTTTTAGTGCTGCCATCTATCCCCGATTTCTATTGGACGCCATCACGCGCGCGTTTTCGAACAATTCAAAAATATATCTCAAATTATGTTCCCATTATTAAACTTTTTATAATGAATATTTTAATGAATTATGTGAAATTATAATCATAAATAAATAAATAATTATTGAAACATTATAATTTAGTCAAATATATTCAAATACAACACTATTTTCTATACATAAATATTTTTATAATGAAAATATCACATTCGGTGCAATTCATTTAGAAAAATTATGAATAAATTAAGTAATTATTTAATTTAAAAATAGAAACATTCAATTAACATTTTATTAAATACTCACATTTAAAGATTTTACCGACAAAACCGATCGATCAATCATAAACTTGTAGTGCACAGATGGAGCTGATAGTCGTTAAAATGAATGAAAGTTTTTCCCGACCCGTTAGCGAATCACCCCACTCATCTTCGCGCTGAAACACTTGTCGGTCTCTTACGATGATCAAGTACGTTAGCGAGGTGGCTCATCGGGTAGTGTGCCGTAGGAATCTTCGTAAGTAGCAACATCGTTTTTTTTCTCCTTTGCATTCGGATGGACGGAGTCCGTGTAAGCAGGTACATACATAACACGCGCCTACATTAACGAAATTTTCACTTTGACCATTCAAACCAATTTGCCGAAAGTTCATTTACTTAAATTAAGGCTTTTTTTTATTAATAATAGTATCAAATATCAAGTATCAAATATAATCAATCCAATAAAATAAATATTTCTTTCTTACGTTGTGTTCTATATGTAACAACTTTTCGTATTTCTTAATACGATTTATTTCAAATTAAATAAAGATAGTCCCACATATTGTTCGACAATATATTTTATTTATTACCACGTAAAACAATCTAAATAATTTTATATGGTTTTTATTCTCAATTATGATACAATAAGCGTATACAAAATTTAAAGATACTCTTATAGAAAAAGAAAAACAATCCGATAGGATGATCCGTAGACAAGCGGGAAATCCAAAAATGACAAAATAAGTAACCAAAAGAACCATCTAATAATTTCTTTGATATTTCTGATATTTTTCAGGTATCGTTAGGAGGAATTTAAATTTGTGCATATTGAGAAAGTGGATCTCTCGATATTACGTGTATTAATATCAATTGACGATTTAAAACAAACAAAAATAAGAAGGAAGACTTGAAGAAATGTGGAAAATGGATTCCCGAGAAGGGGCTATAGTTAGTCGCTTTCCACGACCGAATCTACGTGGGATGACAAGAGATAGAATCACGGCAGGTGGGTAGAAAGAATCGAGAGAGGTATTTGGAGCACAACAAGAGCATAAGCATGCTCCTTCTTCCTCCGCAAGAATCACGGGGTTTCCTTCCCCTTGTCTCCCCCTCTTCCCTTGCCTCGAACCTCTACACTACCCCCTCATTCGATCCGCACTAATGAAATTAGTGGTGATTAAGTCGGAGGGTCACCTACTTTACCGAGAGCAAGGTCGTAACAAACGTCCATTCACGACTAATAATAATAATAATAATGATAATCCGTTACATTGGATTTCCAGCTGATAGAAACCACTAGGTAGTTTAACATTTTCAACATGGTAATAGATCAATTAAATCATATGGAATGAATTCATATGATTTAATTGAATTTATCATTTAATGAAAGATTCAAAATTGTAATTATTCGCGTTTGGCAATATCGCGTTTAGAAAATTATTTATTACTATAAATCTCCTTCGTTTTTTTTTTTAACGATATTTTTTTGGATTGTATAAAATAATTTATTTTCTTTTTTTTACATTATACGTATAATTAGCTTTATGAAGTCAACGTGCCTCCCACGATTTGTTTACTTCAAACAAAACACGTAGATCTAATGGACACGTTTCTGAATGCATTATAAATACCACGTTCGAATGCATACATAAAACTTCGGATTAAATCTTACAATTTTTTTTATCTCATTCTACCAGTATATATATGTGTGTATTTAATTCGTGTGAGTATATCTGTTAGCATATATACACGATAGTAACGTATGTTAAGTATTAATTATTAAAAACTCGTGAGAATCGACTATCGACAGTATATTTGGATGAATCTCCTGTACGACGCATTACGGTATGCAACCGGATCGGGCATATTATAGCTTGTACGCGTGTTACGCAAGCGTATCGAGTGTATTATTAAGCGTTCTTATACAGACGAGAGAAACAAGCTGAAGCATTTTCGGCCAGACATTTGTTATATCATTTTTTATTAATCGATATAATATCATCTACTTATATATACGAGACATAATAATATGCAACTTATAAATAGCATTATGTTAGGCTCTATAAAAAGAGTAATTAACAAAAATTAATTAATATTTCAATTATTCTAAAATGTTATCTGAACTTTCTTTCCACGGGTACAAATGATCTGATACATGACGTAGAGATATCATTATGCACAAATTTGTCGAATGAATTTGAACATTATCGATCGATTATACAGAGTTAAATAAGAACGAGGTGATACCGGTTGCAATTTAAATTTCTCGGGACGTGTAAATGAGGCAATATCTAACATAGAACTTGTCGTATTCTTTAATATTAATTCGAACAAATATAAAAGTCGATCAACTTAATTAATTATTCGAGAACGAGGTGATACCAGCGGTGATTTGAATTGACCGCGCATGCGAATGACGGAAGTTGTTGATCGTTTAAAAAATGGCGGACAAGTTTGAAACAACCTATCGATGTTCTAATGAAACTAATAATCGTAAAGGAGATTGCGAGAGTGTAGCTAGCATGACGACGACGTCGACGACGATGGTGAGAGCGATCTGTGAAGAGAGAAGAAAGAGAGTAAAAGAGTTAGTTAGAGAGTAAGAGAGAAAGAGAGAGAGAGAGAGAGAGAAAGAAAGAGAGAGAAAGCAAAGGATCAAGAACAGGAGGGAGAGAGTTCACTCGCGAAACGAGACGGTGTATGGAATAGCAAGGAATGGAATGGTATGGCATGAAACGAAGGTAGTCAGTTCGCATTGAACTGCCGAATCGCACGCGTCGACATATTCCTATCGTCGTCCAAAAGGACGTCGCGACGTCCGCGTGTTACCCGTCCCTATATTAGAACGGGAATCCCCCGCTTAACATTTCTTGTTTTTTCTTTCTTTCTTTTTTATCGAGTCAACGTAATTGCTGAAAGGATTACCAGTGAAGAAAACAGGATACCTATGTACAGGTGCGATCGTTGATTTTTCTTTACCTCTTCCTCCACTTGTAGAATAAATAAATAAGAAGAAAAAAAAAAAAGAAATTTGTTATCATACATTCGCGAAGGTTGTACAATTATTTATACAAAATATTAAAATCGATATATCAATTATCTTAATGAAACTCCAACACAGTGTTAAAGTAATTAATATTATATTCAAATCATTGTTACATATATATATAAATTTGTTCAAAATTTTCGCGCGTCTTAATGGCGCCTTAGTTATCGGAAGAATGGCGGCGATCTTACGAATGGGTCGGTCCTTCGTTCGAACGATAAAAATCATATCGAGTTTGAACAAAAAAAATCATTGAGAAAAAGGGGCAAAGAAAAGAAAACAAAAAAAAGAGAATGTTGAAGAATTTTAAAAGAAGAATGAACGAAGAGGAACGATACGATATAGAAACCGGCAACGGTACGTGAGAGAGTTCGATGAACTTCGGTAGAACTCGCGAGTTTAACGCGTTATGGTCCGGTTCGATTGGCGCGAGAAAAGCTGCGGGAAAAGGTGAAATGCTTTTGGCGCGCGCTTACCTTCTTCTATGGCACACATATACATACATACATACATAAATACTTACGTATGTGGTACGTATATATAAGTATGTACACCTGTTGCCGATTTCGAGGGCGTTCGAGCGAATGCGATCACTGTCGAAGATAGAACGACCAGGATCGCGTGTGGGCCGGTTTCTGCTGTCGATCTTTCTGCCGGCCACGCGACAAGAAGCGTAGGTCGTAGGAAAAGGCCCCGTTGAAAGAGTCCATAGTCGGCCACACCCTATACCCAGATATAACTCATTTATTTCTAGACGAATCTATTTTTATTTTTTTCCTTCTATTCTTTATCAAAACAATTGTATGATCGTTAATTACAATAATTAAACGTGTAAACGTGATGCATTCTCAAATTTCTTTATTTCATTTTAACATTCTCAAAATTAATCATTTTTAATATTGCAATTCTAATGTACGAAATTTTGTTTGTAGTATCAATTATTCTTTAATCGTAACTTATATCAGGCTGATATTTTTTTTACAAATTATATATATAAGTTTCAGGCTTTCAATTATGCAATCTGAATAAGAAGGATTAGCATAAGAAGTTTAAAAAAAAGAAGAAAAAAAAACTAAAGCAATTAATCGTTAAAATACTCGACATAATTTATGTATCTCTCCAATTGATCAGATAATAATAATGTCTATAATATAGAAGCGGAGAGGGTCAATATAACATAATATGAGTGTGCACTATTTCTGACCGCTACTGCACTTACTATTACATACATATGTAGTCGGATCTACTGTAACCAATTTTATTTCGTTTCGATTCGGCTGACATCGTCGAGAGCCGCGCGAAATTCAAATATAAGAAGAAAATCTAGTGCAAATGAATCTTCGATCCTTCGATTGTCAAGAGCGTGTGATTATTTCATCGTGGAAAAAATTAAATAAACAACTTTCGTATATACTTGCATGTGGGAATATAAAAGTCATGATACATTCGCATACAGAGTTGGGATTATGCGTGAGAAAATCCGAACAACAATATTTATTGTATATAAACGAAGAAGATGCAGTTTTTCTTTTTTCCCATTAAATTTTCCTTTGCAACACTTTTTTCTCTTTTAAAAATATTTCATTAATCTCGTATATATATGATGAAAATATCTATTATTCGAAATAAAATAATGTAACATATTCGGATTATATATTTTGTTTCCTCATTCAAATAATAAAATGTGTCCAAGTTTGTGCTCTTTACTTACATATAACGTATGTAAGTATGTACGAAGCGTAGTTACGTACCGGGCGTGCATCTTTATTATTGGCCAAGAACCCGTATGCGCGGCAGCAGAAGGTTCGATGAACCTTCGCAGGTACACACGACGCGTGTACGACGCGTACGGACGCCGCCTTCCGATCGGTTGCCCCTTTCGCTTTAAGTATTAGACCTCGCGAAAATTGCTACTATGTTTTTCCCCTCCTCTTGAACGTGTCATCATATCCCGTCATATTACAGGATCGAGGGGATGAAATAGAGGACATCTTGAAGTCGAGCGCGTATTCGAATTTCAAATATTCGCGCGCGAAACCTTTCGCCGCGAAATTTCAATTCTCCTAGATACAAATTATTATGGGAACGTTTAACACGCGATAATTAATTTCTTTTCTTTTGTTAAACTATACCTATTATATTTATATATACGTTGTAGAGATATATTATTATTTATAGTATCTTTTACCGAAATAAAATACCCCATTTACGTTCCACTCTACTAACCGTTGACGTACAACTCGATGGTCGAATGCATTTCTATGTGTGTATAACATATGTTGCCCACACTACTCGCGTTTAAGCGCGTATATCTCAAGATATTTCCTTTCTTATCGCTAGGAACTTAATTCTTATCTTCGCAGTTCGAATCAGTCGGTGTTCACATATGTACGTTGTAATAGCGTATGTACGTTCAGAAAGTGTAGCGCGAAATCGGTGAAATTGTGCATTCATTATATTTAGAAATGTTTCGGCGAGATTGAATTTTCTAAAACCTCGCATACGTGAAATTAAACCGAGCTGTGTTTTCGCGATCTTTTATAATCGAGAATAATAAGTGAAATAAAAGCGATGTGTACAAAATTTTCGATAAAACGAATTTCAATCTTTGAAATATTTTTCAATTTCAAAAATGTACCAAAACAAACGACTTTGATCGTCGATGTAAACGTCTTTCGATAAGTGATTATATCGGGAACGACGAATAAGGTGCATATGTAAAATAAGTGAAATTAGAATTTCTAATCTTGTACTATTGTACACGATTCATGTGCGTTTGCCTCTATCTCACTCAACGACGTATCAAGGATTTATCGAAGGATCTTAAACTATATTAAAAGATATGTTCAAACAATTTTGGGAAGTTTTAGGTGGAAACACGGTAATATTTCTTTTTGTAATCCATGCACTTATTTATATATTGTAAACAAAATTCTTATATTATCAATGATAAACCCCATTATACCGATACCTATGAGATTATCGATAACAGTAACAAAAAAATATCGACTATCTTTACTTTTTTGTTTTATCTGTTCATTTGATTGTTATTCAAAATACATGCTCCCTTCTTTTGTTACGTTTCCCCTATCGTCGTCCTTCGTTTTCATAATTACGTTTGCACTCGACGCTTCCAACAGGCTCTCGTGCATTTTGTATTTCGCATAATCTCGGGTTAGAATCAATCGTGCGTGCTGAGAACATTAGCGTGTTCACGTTCATGCTCTTAACAAGATCGGGGATTTGCGTGTACGGAGAAATCAAAAGTTCTACACAAGAAAGAAATCTGAGAGCCGACATTTTTCATTAAACAACAAGAAGAATTGATCTAACCTTCGTTATCTTTTTATGTGTTTCCATTTTGTTTCTTTTCTTTTCTTTCATGTACAGTTTTATATTTATCAAATGTGACGTTTTTCAACTAGAATAAGAAAACATGTAAAAGAACGTTAATTGATCTCACACTTCTCCCTCCGCACAATCTCGTCATTAGAAAATCATCATGTTTCCAAAGGTATTTTTATCTTGAAACGATTAATCATTCCTTACAATGTGCGGAAATAATTACACAAGCTGATATCATCTATGACAAAGTTATACGTAATACGTCTAATGTGTAACGACGATTATTATCATTTTTATTTTACAAATGTGTATGTGTGTATATGTGTGTGGGTGAATTATTTTGTAGATCATATTATCGATTTATATAATTTCCCAATTTATAAAACGATTTTAACGAATATTTTTTTTTTATTTTATTACTTTTAATCTAAAACAATTCATTCGGCTAAATAAATTTGTTTTTTTAATCAATGTTAATATCTATTTCAGGCTCGAAGCGGAATGTCCGTGGGTTCGGGAGGGCGGGCTCCCATTAAACGTACAACCGGAACCACGACATCGACCATTAATAATTCGACCAAAAATAAGTAAGACTTATTTTTCTTTCAAATTTCTTTTAATTTTATTCTAAAAATGTATAAACAAATTATCAACAATTTTTACTTCAATCTAAAACAAAAGAATAATTGAATTTTCACGTTAGAATCTGTTTTATCGACCTATCTCGAAGTATTTAATTCTTAATCCTCTCAGATGGCGCTAGTATATCCTTAAAGTTTGAAACGATATTTTTTTTACGAACAAAGTGCATCATCGAAGATGCATTTAAATGCAACCAATAAGAGCTAAGCATTATTTTACGTAATGCTTTCTTATAGGTCAAAAAGTATAACTTTATTTGAAATTAAATTGAGTATAAAAATAACATATCTCTTATAACATATGCACATATATATGCATATATAAACATATATAAACACGTGAAACAAAAATATATCGATTATTAATGCAAATTTATTCTCATCGAATAATATATTTATTGAAATATATGAAATAGTAGAGAATTGAATCTAAAGGATAATTTAATTCGCATTAAATCGTGTTAAACGTTCTTACGTGCATAGAAACAGAAAAATTCAAGGTAAGCTCGTTACCGTAATCGTAATGGAGTAGCTCGTCCTGTCTGTCACGTGTCGGGAAACCGGTCGTGCCATTATTTTTCCGGAAATTCCGTTATCTACCTGCGAAGTGCATTGGTGCATCTGTCTATACCAAGAGGCCGTTAGACGTTTAAACGGTCAAGCTCGGGGTACGATCGATTGTGTTCCAATCGAGTATCGAGTATCGATTATCTTTCGCACTCGAGATAACTCGAAAATACAAGCTTCGATACTACATTCATATTCTAAGTTGGTAACATTATATTTATATATGTATATACTGCCGTTTTAACTAAATGATATATTATAACCATTTAACAGGTTTCACGCAAAGTAACATGTTGTTAGGAAATATTACATAGATAACAAACGTTAAATAAAACTAAACTTGTTGGTTGTTCCCATATACATATAAGATTACTATATTACTAGTTCTCGTTAGTGGAAAGATATATGCGATGAAGTGAGACAGAAAAAATTTCTTCGTCGCTTGTGCTCAAGATATTCTGCGCAGGCGGTTAAATATGAAGTTTAATTCTGCAATCATTGTTTTAACACCAAATAAAAATAAGATTCTAAACGTATAGAAAAAATAGCATTTTTAACACGTGGGATAGCATCTTCATTTTCTTTTACTAATAATAAAACTTGTCGCGCATGCTCGTAACTAATAAAGTTCTCTTCCAAGTAGAAAGAATGATAATATCATTTGAATCATGTCATTTCTAACCCTTTTTCTCGACCTTTATTACAATATAATAGTATTACACAATAATATAATATAGTATACACATATGCAGTTCTCCCTGATGTAGCAGTCGCCGAGCGAAACTTTCAAGCGGGGATATAGCTCAGTGGTAGAGCATTCGACTGCAGATCGAGAGGTCCCCGGTTCAAACCCGGGTGTCCCCTTGAATTTTTTTTTTTACTTTTTTTTCGTTACACGTCACGGTCCTATGCATTTTTGTTTAATATAATCGATAAGAATGAAAATGTAAACAGGTAAAATGTAATAACACGTGAACGGTGCATTTCACGACTTTCCTAAGATGATGACAGTGTATACCATATATGTATAAATATATATATCGAGTGATAAATTAAACTCGGTTACGAGAGACGGAGATAAGTAACGTCACGGCTTACGACACGATTACGTTCACCAACAAGCGTCAGACAAGGACGAACGAGCTGAGAAACAGGGGGCCACGAGTCATAATTGTTATAATTAAATCGTTAGAACTGAGAAGAGTTGACAGTGTTCTCTCGTAAAAACCAATTCTCTCGGAGACTTCAACGACATGCTGACGATGATAATAGGCGTAATAAAATATGAAAGAGGAATATTTCGAATGCGGACTTGATATTACATAAGAATTAAATTTAACGACCCTATGAAAATAATTATTATTTTACAAGCAGATTATAATAATTATTATTTATGTCGATACTTTTTTTCACCACTGTACATATTGTGTTCACGTTTACGCAAATAAGAATTATTGCATTTAATTACGATAAACGCGCGTAATTACTTTTTATAAAACTAAAACAAGCGTAAATTCGCGAAAAAAGAAAATGTGTTGCCGATGATAGATTTTGAAAAGTAGAACACCCTTCAACGTGTCAAAGAAATAAATAAAAAATAAAAATAAAAATAAAAAAAGGAAATAAAAATGATAGGCGAAGAGAGGAAGGGAGAGGAGACGAGGTCATTGACCAGCGGTCAGCGATCGAACTGACCTCATCAACTCGTCGTTCCTCAACATATACTAAACTAGTGGTCGATACGCTAAACTCGTCGAATCGAGTCTCTTTCTCTCTCTTTCCTTCTCATTCTCTTTTCTATACTCTCTCTTATTCTACCTTTTCTTTTACTTGACGAAAGCGTGTTAGACTTGAAGGATCGTTCCTCTCCAAACGAGTCTTTTATTATCACCTAGTTAAACGTTGGATCACACGGAAATTGAATCTTGTTAGTGGACTTTGTATTAATTATTAATGTCAAAGACAAATGCATTTTTCTTTTATCTATTTCATATCTAAATCAAACCGATGATAATCATTGGTTCAAAGTATAGATAAATCGATATTTTATAATGAGTTTTTCTTTTCGTACTAGTACCACACTTTAAATACCATATATGGATGATGTGATATTTTATGAAAATTATGTAAAATAGAATAAGACAATAAACAAATGTTGAGTCAATATTAAAATACTTATTGTGACGCGAGACAAATCGATTCAGGTTCAACGAACTTTTTAATTTTAATCTCGTACGATTACTTTATTTTTACTTTCTTTTTTCAAATTTTCTAAAAGATAAAGGATACGTGCAAAGTTCATAAGTCATTTCAAAATGAATCATTTTTCGTAAATTTATTTTATTTTTCAGATAGAGTTAAACTACAAACCTATGAAATTTCAACACAAATAATTGATTTTAACAAGTCATCTAAAAACTTTTAGCTCACCCTGTACATTGTAATTAACTTACCTTTGTAAGACCTAGTTTTGTTATCTATACGATTAGTAGAATTGTTCTAACATTTTAAGTACATACACGGTGTACAACGATATTCTAAATTTATTATGATTTGAAACACTCTATTGCAACTCAGCTTATCGATTGACGGTAGCTGTAACAAGTTCGTAGAACCAAATAGACATTTTGAAAGATTTGATAAAGTTCGAAAATTTATGGATCCCATTCGAAATAGAACGGTTCCAAAGAAACAAGATTTATGATCCAGTTATGTAATCGTAATTTACCGTGTCGACGTTTCAACGGCTTCATTATTTGCCGTACATTAATTTTTCAATACATCCACTACTTTTACTATTACGTAACTCATATATAAAACAAATAGACACTTGCACGCATAAATTAATTTCGATTGATTCGTTCCACGCGTTTATATTATTTTTAAAAAAGTACATTTGAAGGGGAGATGATGTAACACTTCGATTTATATAAAAATTTATTTATTCTAACGAAAACAATAGTTTAGGGAATGCAGTATCGCAACTTTTCTGAGGAAATGCCTTACCCAAAGATTGGCTCGATAAACATATTATAATAAAATTAGTTTCTTTCCGTGAAACAGCAGATGCTAAAAACACAAAGCATCTTTTATTGTTCACAGGAGAACGCGTTAAATCATGCACCTACGTCCTACACGTCTTGCAATCTTACATAATCGTTCGTTAGACGAACGCGTAACAGCATGTTGCGTAGGATAACCCCATCGCACGTTTGTTCCACTTCCTTTCGATGAATGAGATCCTTCTTAAAGATTCCGTTTTACGCAGAAAATGAAAATGAGAGTTTGTATTACCGTTTTAAACACTTTTGCGAAATATAATCGACAATTAAAAAAAAAAAAAATCAAACCACAGTAAGAAAATGACCTTTCCTTCCTACATATTTTAAACATATCTACATATTTTATTATATAATATATATGCTATTCATATATTAAATCTTTTTAAACTAACTTTGTTTAAGACTGTGAAAAAATTCCCTGTAGTATTACAATCTGAAAAAAAGAATTAGCCTGAAATATTTCAAAAAAAAAAAAAGATATTCACTAACAAAATAAAATATATCATTTGAAAAATATATATACGATTTCTCTAACATCGAATAGAAATTTTGAAATCCGTCGACAATCCGTCCTGTCCATTTGATTTATTTTGTTTATTGAGACATAATTCGAAAGAACAAAAATAAAGTAACATTGAAAAATAACAATCTGTTAACCGATTAAAATGTTTTGACAGATCTAATGAAAAATATGCGTATAGAAATAAATGTAAAAGTTAAACATGAATTTTCTACACACATATATATATATATAGAAAGATACGTTTTCTTGCGTGTGGGTTTTAACAAGGCTGGCGTTCATCTCGGCGCGTCGGTTGGCGTTCCACTTTCGCACGAAAAGAAGTAAATAAAGAAAAACAAAATAAAACTAAAATAAAAAAATAAAAATGTATATAAAGAAGAGGGATGGGAAGGGAAGGGTAGGGGGTGAATGAGAGAAAGAGAGAAAAAGAGAATAGCACGAGAGTTTAAGATTCTATTCTGAATTTCAGGTCGAAGCTCGAGCCAAGGCCGCCGCCGTCTGGAGTTGGAAAAAAAAGAACGGACGCGGTGTCGTTGCTTTTCAGCGCGAAAAGGCCGCCTGGGAGAAAAGTCGAACGAACACCGACTAAAACAACGACAACTCCAACGACAACGACGAGGACGACGACGAAGACTCCTCAAAAGTCGCCGAGGACGAAATCGGTTGAACTGTTAAAGTGAGTTTCCCCCTTTTTCTCGCTCGACAAAAAAGAAAACAAAACAAAAACTAAATAATTTCGATCGAATTTAAAAAAGAAATGACTTACATTATTTATTATTTATTCAATAATAATTATTCGATGATGTATATGGAACAGAACGTATTGAGAAAGTAATTGATAAATTTGACGCCATTCATTTGAAAATTTAGAAATATCTTGTTACACCCTTTGAACTCGATTTATATACTTCCAATGTTCTTGCTTTTCTACATGTATATTTCTATACACGTGTAAAACGATTAAATATTTATTAATTTTATTTTATAAAATTATGCACAACACGAACGATTAATGAATTATTTTTGTCATCTCCGATATGACGTACTAATGTTCAAAAAAGGTTCAAATTAATTTAAATTATTATTCCATATTAATATAAATGTAATATTATATATATTTACATTTATATAGTTTATAATACGTTTATTAAATATATAGAAATATTAATATAACGTATTAATACAGAATTTTTGGTATTAGTATTACAAATTTGCACGTAATACATAAACATATGATATATTTATTCGATATGGACGATATTACTTGGTGTCTTGCTCGAAAAGAAAAGATAAGGGGAAAAAAGAAAAAAAGAGTTAGAAAGAGAGGACGAGGCAAAAAGAAAAACTAGAAAAGGTTGGGTGTATGGGTGCTCGCGCGCGCGCGCGCGTGTACTCGTACTTGTACTCGTTCAAGTATGTTCATCGGCGCTTTGCGTGAGTTCAATGACCTCGTACTCGCATGCTGACTCCTTTCCCCACGATTTCTCGATGGCACACAGTGTATATAAACGGTATTAAGCGTATATATCCCCGACCGTCTCCTCCTGCAAGACGCAGCTCGAACCAACCGATGCTCTGGTACCCTTTTCTCCGCTGACTACTTTTGCGAACACTGTTCGATAGGAGATCGATAAAAAGATCTATATCCATATCCTATCTACGATCTTTAAGATTTATTTTTTTTATATTTTTTATTTTTCAACCAATCTTGTACTTAACTTCCTTGTATCTGTCTTCGTCAAATATTCTTATACTTTGAGTAATACTAAAATAATAGTCAAATAGTAAGACCAGTAGATAGACGTTTTCTCAAATGTACATAAATGATTTTACAAACTAATTATAATATGTTTAAAATTACAAGTTTATAGGGTTTACAAAATTAGAGTAACATTCAATTTTTATTATTTATATTTTTTATTTGGGTCTCGCAATGAGATCATCGTCGTTAAATCATACTCGAAAAGTCAGTCAAGTTCAATGTTAGCATCGAAATATTTTCATACGAGTAACGAAGATACAAAGCAACAAACACAGAAATACGTATCTTTGAAAGTTAGTAAAGATGCATCGTTTGAGTCCAGTCACTCGGGGGCGAGAAAAAGTAGCAATGATGATAACTGAAGTAACAGAGGGATGAAAGAAGCTGTCTGTCTGTTGCTCGAGACACGAACAGGTTTCGATCTCGTAGTCTCTTTTTCTTTCTCTTTCTTTCTTTCTTTTACTGCATTCGTGGAACAAGAACTCCCTAACAGAATCAAAGCCGTTCATCGTATTTCGAAGGTCTATGTATACAATGTATGTACATACATACATACATATATTTACGTACATATATACGTACATGTATGCAGTATATAAAGATATAAGAATGGTAGAATTTCGCGATTTCTTGGGAGAAAACGAGCACACGATGAAAGCAGCAAACGGCTGCGGAGGCTGTAAATATCTTTCGACGACGTTCGTAAGAGCCTACCGAAGAAGAAAAAAATAAAAAAAAAAGGATGAAAAGAAAAAAAAAAGAGTCAAGCGTCTGATGAAATCCTAAGGAATCGCATTCCACAAGCATCCCACACCTATTCTAGTAAATTCACCAGAGACGCCGATAGAATATTTCTAAACGTTCATTTCTGCGTGCTTGTTTCTCGAGTCGATTACGAAAGTACATGCGCGTGTATTTACTTTGTATGCATTTCTCTAACTGTATAGAAAATTAATCATTATTTTTGCATTTTTTTAATTGATACCAAGAAAGACGATCAAGTCAATTTCTATCGTAATTCTTATTAAATAAACTAATTGATGATAAAAGAAGTTGAATAGAAAAATGTGTGAAAATAAATAGAAAATAAATAAATGTTGTGGGTAAAATGAACGAAATCACGCATCAATTTAATACGAAATAATAGCTAATTTGTGATCATTGGTTAATCGTCGTCCCATTGGTCCAATAACCGTCCACTTCTTCTCTCATTACTCTGTTAAATCTAATCCTTTTATTCAGTTTGCACAAGGAAATAAAAGGAGGGAGTACGCGAAGTCGACCATGACGTTTCTTAAACACAACAGAGAGTAGAGTTTTAAGTGGCCACCATACTCTCAAGAGACCGACGACCCACTCTAACAATGAGAGTGCCACTTGGACGATGCGAACGACCTACATACCCAGTGAATCAAAAGTCAATGAGCGAGCACTGTATTCTAAACCGGTAGACCTCTCATTTTCCTAATGGGGTAAAAAAATAAAATTCACAAGGTAGAAAACAACCAGTAACGATAACGATAACTATCATGCATATATTATGTGCCTAATTTTCCATTTACATATATACAGACGTCTCATCTTCCTATAACGGAAAAATATACATAATTAATAATGAAATATTACTATAAATCACACACACACACACATACATCTGTTACTCGCTAAATTTCTTATTTATATTTTATTTGATTAACATTTTTCTACAAGTATAACATATCATTATTCAACAAGTGAATAATCGAATTATAATTTATTATATACGTTCTGTTCCATTAAGACGATATATCTCTTACGATAATATTTTTCTTGTCTATTAAGAAAATTGAAATAGGAAAAAAAATCGATAATTTAACAAACACACATTTTATCCTGTCCACTCGTCTCTTCTTTTTATTATTTTTCTTGCGTTTCGCAATGTGGAGACAACATTTCTGACTTACTATGTTCTCTTTCTCTCTGCGCTTCCTTATTTCAACACTACTTTAAAGTTAATAGAGCGTCAACGGAGAAACCAACGTTCGTCATGGTTAAATGCTCGTCAACTAACGTTGAACTCTCCCGCACGCTGACAAAGTTCTCTAATTGTAAGAGGAAAGGTTCTCAAAGAAGAAAAAGGGCAAGGGCAATTGACTTCTCTTGTCGAGAGGAAAGAAACGAGTCACTCCCCTACCCCCAAATAAAACAGAAAGAGAAATAGAGAACACACACACACACACAGAGAGAGAAAGAGAAAAAGGAAGAAGCTTCGTCGAATTTGATCTTCGTGTTATCGCTTGTCATTTCTCTTGGAAGTTCAACTTGAATTATCAACGAAAAATGAAACGTTGAAGTATTTTATATCCTCCCGACTGTTGTTTATGTGAAACGTGACCGCTCTTGAAATACAGCTCCTTCATTTTACGACGATAAAGATTCTCTTTCGAGTTTTCTTTTTCACTTGAGATACGTAATTTCTAAAAATATTTTTTTTTTTAAGTTGAATCATTAGATTTCTTACCAATATATATACGAGAGAAAAAGAAACAAAGATATACGATAATTTCATATAATCGATTTCATAAAAAAATATATTATCATTGTCGGATCTGTTTTGTTATCTGTTCACCAATTAAGTTGTGACTTGCTTAATGTTTAATATTTTTAATTGAAAATTGCGTAGTCAGAGTAATTTATAGAAGAACGAAAAGGTTTCGCAAGTAGGACCGACAGCTCGGCTATTTTCCTACCGACAAAAAAGAAAAAGAAAAAAGAATGATAAAAAAGAACTTAAATAAGAAGAAGAAGAAGAAGAAGAAGAGGAGGACAATTTAATGTTTACACACGTGCTACCTACAAACGCCTATTTATATCCACCAACTAAGTTTCTAAGCATACTTATATTCCTTCCTTGCTAAATATCATTTGCAAAGTAAACATGGGCCCATTATGTTCGTTCCTCGGTTTTCTTTGAAATATCTGCCACACTTGTGTTAGATTCTAAAGTGAATCGAAAAGTGTATATCATAAAAATGATTCCAAATTTAAAATGCGAATTTTGGTAGCAACAACGCTTACTTTTTCGCTCGAGATATTCCTTATCAGTAATACGAGTTGCCTTTTTTATTGACGAAATTACGTCATTGATACAATTTGAAACGTTTCTATACGATCGCGATAAAAAAATATCCGTTTACTTTTTCTATTCCATTTTTTTTTCTTTTCTTTTCTTTTCTTTTCTTTTCTTTTCTTTTCTTTTCTTTTCTTTCGAGGTTTCGATAAGGTTTTATCCCTTATTGTAAAATGGAACACTGCGGAGAAAAACGATGAAATGATTTTTATCCCTATGGGGGAAAATCCTCCTTTTAGTTTCACGTGAAATCTTATTTAAAAATAAACTTGCAAAAATATACACATGCAATAGGTGTGCATTGATATCTAATATTTTATTCGAATGATTTATGATTCATATCGAATTATCTCATTCTTTTTTTTTTTTCATTCTTATTATATAGAGGAAAAATATATACATAAACCAAAGTTAGAAAATATTTTTCAAGGAATATAAGGATTGAGAAAACAGAGAACATTATTTTCTTTCTCTTACCACACACATCTGAAAGTAATCAAAAAGATCTTCTGATGTTTTCATTATGTCTCACTATGTATATCCGAACTCCGTATTCGTGTGTAAAATCTCGTCCGTAAAATCAATCCGATTATAGTCACGTTTTATTAGATTTTGTTTTTATTTTTAATAAAAAAAAAAAAAAAAGAAGAAAGAAAATATATCAACAAAAATTGAATGTAAAATAATTCTGTCATTTTCTTTCTCTCTTTCTCTCTTATTCTCGGCTTAATAAATCTAAACAAAGAAATGTGATTAGCAAGGTTTCGTTTTAAAATGTACCACCTGCATCGTACAATCGGTCACGAAGATATTTGTATGACGCACGGCACGTTGACTATCAATGAAGATATAAATAATAATGATTATTGTATCAACGCAACGATTCAACTGAAGAAGGATGATAAGAGAATCGTCAATAGGGATCTCTGAATCAGAGAATTCGATAAAGAATTTCCTTGAATACTTTCTTTTTTTAGCATCATCGACTTATCAACTCTCAACCCTCCCCGACCCCGTTCGCAATAGTACAATATTGTCATTATAGTTTAAATAATTTCATTTTTCGTTGTTGTCAACGACGAAGTGTATCGCACGCGTAAAAAATAAATTAAAATAAAAAAAAAAAAAAAAAAAAAAAGGAGTCTGTTCGACGTAAGAGGAAAGTTGACACCATTCGCATCGAGATCGTTTCGTAGCGAATCTTGCGAATGGACGACTCGCTTTTATGCACGTCTAACGTTGACACATTTTTTTGCGGTGTCGAATAGACTCACCACACGACTGATATACCATATACGTGTTTGCATGCGCATAATACCTATACTCAATATATATATATATGTACATACATACTTTGTCGTTGATATATGGTATAATACGTAGAGATATATAATCCTATATGGATTTATTGTTTATCTATACACGTACTACGTATCTTCGATGACGAGTAGCAACAGGACGACGATAATAATGGCGGGCCTTGCTTGCATTCGCCATCGTTGAGAGTGTCGTATTTCCGGCGAGTTCGACAGAAAAACCTCATAAGACAGCTTTACCAGTTCTACGACTCTGGAGACAGGTTTGGCGTTTGCACGTGCAATTTCTACCTGCGTTTCTACGTGACCGTAGAAAGAGAAAGAGAGAAAGAGACAGACAGACAGACAGACAGACTAATAGAAAGAAAGAAAAAAGAGAAAGAGAGTTCGCCGTAAATACAATATCCTGTATTCACAATATAACACATACTAACACATGGAATATAGTAGATCTTTCCTCCAAGGGTTAAGTTTAAATGAGAGTAAAGCCAGAGTTAGTTTAGTATATATGTATAGATTGTGGTGGTATCTTTGTTTTTTGAAAAATATTTTAACGTGAATCCATCGAGAGTTTAAAACCGTACCAGAAGAGAAGCAAAGTTAATTCAGTTCTGAAACTCATTTCGCATCGTCATCGTGTTCGTTCGAAAGCCAACGCATCTTGAAGTTCTTTTCGGGACAGCATTGCCGTTCCGTTCATACATATATACATATATATATACATATATAGATAGCATGTATATGCCATATGTCGACCGTATGAGAAAACTGGTCGACGGTAAGACGTCTGCGGATTCCGTGGCCTCCTTTAAGCTGCTGTTTCTGCTTCCCTTTCCCTTCGTTCCGGAACACCAAACCATCCTCACGTACAATTTATATACTTGTGTATATATATATATATATATATACACATGTAAGTATATACGTACCCGTTCCCAACGCGAATCATCTTTACCCCACCAATTCGAGCCAATTAACTCCCACCCTTGAAAATCAAGAGGATTGTATCGACATCGATCGTGCGATCGTCCGAGTCAAAGAATTGGGTACTCGGTATCGAGTTTAAAACATAATTTAGATCATTTGTGAATAAATTTAATAAATAATTATGACTCTACCAGAAAAAGCTTTAGCATTTATATTATTAATACGTTCAAACGTATAATCTATACTTACTAATTTCAATGGAGTAATCAGAGAAGAATATAGTTTAATTAGTAAATTAATAGAAACGATCATCCGATTTTCGAGATAAGAATAATCAATCCACGTTTCTCAAAGAATTAAGCAACAGCAACGTGTACACGAACTCGAATTAAAAAGTAGGTGACAACGACAAGGCTACGAAGCGCGAATAATTTAACTGGCGCAGTATTTTTGTCGAACGAATAAAATCATTTTATCGGAGAAAGATCTAAAGGACACAGGAGCACGGTCTCTCGTAATAAAAACCAGAATCCGACACGACACGATACGACACGATACGACACGATACGACACGATTCGACTCGACTCAACTTGTTTTCAGTTTCTTCACGAAGAATGCATTTCCCACAAAAGGCAATTCCGAACGCTTTCCAATCAAATCAAATCCGGTGTACCTACAGATCAAAACAGCGTTATCCCTCGAGAAAGATTTTTCCTTATCTCGGCATCTTGCATCATTTCATTTTCCCAGCTAATACAAAAAGATAAAGATTATTCGAAATAATCGAGATGACCATAGAAAAAAATACACAGAGATCGTTGACATTTCTTCCTGAACGAATCGTTATCAAGTCAAAGAAGAAGAAGAAGAAGAAGAAGAAAAAGACGAGGAGGAGGAGGAGGAGGAAGAAATAATAAAAAATCAAAAAATACAGAAAGAAAGGAGAGAGAGAGAGAGAGAGAGAGATCCCTTTCGTGCGATAGGCAAGAAGAGAGTACCGAGCCCATTTTTCAAGTCCGTGGCCCTTCGGCCCCGCTCGGGTCCGTAGAAACGAGCCCGCTCTGATGGTATATAACACTGGGTAGGGGTAAAGAAACCAAATGGTGGGGGCAGGGCCGCTGAGTTGCGCTCAGTGCCCGATGCACCGTCGATCGGTGTGTGTCTGTTCAAATCTTTATCGTACATTTTTTTCCTTATTCTCTCTTGCATCGTGATTCTTTTTTTCTTTTCTTATTCTCTTTACGAGATAAAATCAGTAGCAGATAAAATACGGATAACAAAATTTATAAAGAGAGAAAGAGAAAGAAACTTTATCAATTATAGTTTTTTCTTTTTTGTTCCAATCATCCTAATTTTCATACGAAGAGATTCTCACCTAACGAAAGAATGAATTTGTTTTGCGCGTTAAATTAGATATACATAGATAGAAAGAAAGGTGCGCGAGAATGCGTTTGCATTCACTTGGAACTATCGCGGAGACGTTCGGCGGATCGCGAGGCTGTTGTTACGACGCGTGCAACAAGTGGTACTCGTTGTCTGTGACGACAGGGCGATGCAACGACCGACCATGATGGGCCTTTTAAAAATAGTTATTGTCCTGTGAAAACTTATCTGAATAGTGAATAGTGTGAGGGCTCTAAAATTACGATAGATAGACGATAATATAGAACATATATGAACGGTTAAAAAGTATCTTTCTCTTTGGAAAAAAAAAAAAGTGGCTCGAGGTCGTGCCTCGAGCACGAATCTTCGAATTCTTCTCTTGGTTCGTGGCACGCGATGCGAGAGGCGATCCTCAGCCTCGTGTAACGTCGTCTGTGATCGTGTCGACTGGGTTACTGTCATTATAATAACCCATTCTATTTTTCCATATTTTTAAAAAAGATATACTTTACCAGGAGATAACAATCTCTTACGGATGAACGGATGAACCGCGAGAACAATTCTTGTCACTCGGTATCGTTTATCACAATCTCGACAAAACAAGAAAAAAAAAGAAGAAGAAAAAGATTTTTCCATCTTTAGCGATGAGATTAACGTTGATATTGCATTCCCATCAAAAATTATTTGATATTATTCTTGAGTGTTTATCTACATCATCGGCCAGGTCAGTTGTTGAACCAAGAATCAACAAGTGACCACCACGACACTGTGCCTTACGCAGAGAAAAAAACAAAAGGAACAATAAAGAAACGTATTGCGCGTTGAAAAGTAAAAGTGCAAAGAACCTGCAAATTTCAGGCCCCTGTGCGTCATCCTTACTTGAAAAGAGTGGGGGAGTGTAGGGGAGGGGGGAACAACAAAGGTCCTCTCTCAGGGTCGTTGAAAATAATGTGTCTTCATTTTTCGAAAAAGAACTTGAGAATCGAGAGCGCATATAGTAGTCGACCATGATGAAGTTCAAATCGCTGTTTCGCAGAGGACAGCAAAGCCAGCAGCAGCAGCAGCAACAACAGCAGCAGCAGCAGCAGCAATCGACGCAGGGCACACAACAACAACAACCACAACAGCAACAGGTCCCCCTGCGTCAGGCCCCGAGCGCCGCCTCGCTCGAAACAAAAACTGAGAATTTATCGACAGAAAACTGGAGTTCGATCGGTAAAGAAGTTCCCAAGAGCAACGCCAAGAATCAGCAACAGCATCACAAGGGACCCGCTAAGGGGTCCAGGATGCAGGAGCTGGAACGGGAAATCGAGATCTTACGAAAGGATCGTGCCCGGCTTGAGGCTGACCTAAGGGAAGCATCTACTGACGCTCAATCTCTACGCGAGCTCAAAACTGAACTCGCCTCTCTCAAGGTAAAAGAAAATTCTCTTATATCTTATATTTAAATGATTATTCATTTGAAAGCAGTTAAGGATCTTGGTCTAAAGATTTAATTTCAATAAAATTAGGATATTTATATAATCTCTTGACTATATAAATATGATTCGTTTAATAATTCCTAAAGTTGTAACAATTATTTACAATGATCGTTAAAATATCTTTGATAAAACACAATTTTGAAGATTATTTGGGTTTTTATTTTATCAATGACGTGTCCTAGCTCTCGTAGACGTTACAAAAGTTTGACTCTGATCGATTTCCTTAAATGTTTCTCAAAGAAAAGATATAATACGTGCTGAAAAAAGAAAGACAAAAATAATAGAAATTGATCGCGAAACAAGCTGCGGTGAAAGTTATAAGACAACGACAGAATGTTGACGAATTAATTGGGGATTAATTAATGTTGTCGACGTGAAAGTCGCGTTAGCGGTTTTAATTCTAGTTGGTTGTAATTAAACGTTAACAAGATCGATAGATAGGAGGACAAAAAAGTCATTGAAAAAACATCGAACAACTTCTTCGGTGAAATCGCAATCGATATAACTCTTTATATATATGTTATTTGTTTCTTTTTTCCTCTTAAACTCGGACAGTCCTTATTGTCTTGATGATGATGATGATGATGATAATAATGATGATCACGTGGCTCACGAAATTTCCTCACGTGGTCTTCGTTTCTTCTCCCTTTTCTTTCCTTCCTCGTAATCCCCACCCCTTGCATAACGTCGCCGACCTTACAAGGAAAACATACAAGGTGTACCCAGATATATATATACGTATACTTGATCGCGAGAGATCGAGTTGGATCTGTAAGATTAAAATGTGTTACATCATTACAAATGATACGATCGATCTGCATATTAATAATCAATGATAAATGTTAAATAAATTCATTATCGTCATTATTATTATCCATGTATAAGTCGTATAAATTCGAGAATTTTGTATAGTACGTAATTATAGAATGAACCGAAGCTTCAAATATCCCAGATATTTTTGTATGACACGGTGATGTGTCAAAATATAATTGGAATATAACCAGAACGAACTAATCTTATAAAAGTAACCCTGACGCAGCCCTGACGCAGCAGCCCCTGGCGCTTAAATATTTATTGTTGAGATTCCTGAAGCGTGAGTCGCGAAAAATGACACTTTTCAAAAGTGGGTCTTGATCTATAAAAGTTTCGGAAGCCTCTGTCTTATTGGATCATTACAAGAATCAAAAAATTAGTCATGACTTCCGTTAAAATTTTCATTTTCCCTTTTTATTAGTTGCTATTTTTATATTCTCGATACGATTGAAATTGCATATTAATTTTTGTAATAATGATATGAAATAATTTTGTTGGGGTATTTTAACGTTTAACTTATTCAAATATTTTTCATTTTACAAATTTAAGCATCCCCTAACTTTTTGAAATTTGATTGTAATATAGGACATTAAGAAGATTTAATTAACAATACGGTTTTGAAATCAGTTTAATGCAATACGATAATCGTCGAGAATCTCCTAGAATCGCGTGTGTAAGCTTTGCACATTTTTATTCCCAACGGACACGATAGTTTAACGGTCCGTTAAAATAACGGATAGTGAGAAAGTCGGCTTATTAGAAGACAAGCAGAGGGCGTAAAATGCGGGGATGTTTACGAAGAGAAAAAGTTTCTAAACGGGAATCACTGAGAACGATATGAAAAAACGTTGCTTTTCCGCACCGTCGGTAATATGAACAATCATTTTCTATTGTACATTAACATGTTTTCCATCTTTCATTCATTATCTAATCGATCAGCATTCAGGAAGAAGAAGATATATTATAACGCATGGAACCTAACCTGCAAGATTGACAGTTATCCTTACTATTATTATAAAAATCAAATGAACTTTCCTATTTTTTTATCTTCATTTTAATCCATTTTTATAATTATTTTCAATCAAAACATGACTATCAACAATCAGTATTTTCCTTTAATGTTTTTAGCAGTTTCCTTTTATTAATGATTTAAATTAAATCCTCAATATTTTATATAAATTGCAATGAAGATTTAAAAACTAATTCCAAATTCTTCTATTAATTGTTACAATATTTGATAGATGTTCGATTTTCAATTTTCAACTTTCGTTTAACGTTGAGTACATATCGATTACAGGAGCAGCATAGTCTGGAGTTAGATCGCCTTACAGAAGAGAATGAAGCTCTTCGCGCCCGTCTTAGGAATGTAGCTCACTCTCCATTATCTGATTCAGAGAAGCAACAGCTGCTATTAGATGCATCAAGGCTTCATAATTCTGCACCAGCTTCGATTGCTATACCTCAAGATGATAGCTGTACGCCAAATGCAAATATATCACAAGATAATGCGCAATGCACGACTCCGGATTGGGATAAACATTCCTCTAGCTCTATATCAGAAGTTTCAGTGGCTTGTCTTCAAGACAGAATACTACAAATGGAAGAAACGCATTATTCTACTAATGAAGAGCTACAGGCAACTATTCAAGAATTGAGCGATTTACAAGTATGTATAATCAATCATTTTCAAAATGATATTTCACTGATGAAACAGTATATTAAACGTGTTCATTTGTTTATAGGCTCAACTGACAGAATTACAAGCTGATAATGAAAGATTAACAGAAGAAAAGGGTGTTCTTTTGGAATCATTATGTCGACAAACAGAAAAACTTGAAGATTCAAGATCTAAAGTTGATACGTTACAAGGACTTTTATTAAGAGAAGAAGAACCTCAAGAATCTTCTAAAGGGTATAACACAGAAAGAGAACAAAAATTAGTTGACTTGTTAAAAGTAAATATACATATCAATTTATCCAATCATAAAATTATTCTATGTTATATATCGATCAATATGTTATCATTGTATTTTTTATATTTTAGAGTGCTCAAGAAGAACGAGAGGCTTTGCTTCAGAAGCAAGAAGAATTAACATCAGAATTGAAAAATTTAAGAACAACTGCCGATGCGAATGCCACTGAAGCAGAGAGATTAAGAAAATGTGTCAATTTGCTTGAATCTACTATAGAAACAGTCAATATAGAACGTAAACAATTAGATGTAGAATTAGCAGAAGCACGTCAAGAAGGTGCAAACAGAAGCATAGAAATAAGCAGATTAGCTACCTTGCTGGATAATGCCAGAGCTAAGATAGAAGAATTAGAGCAATCAAGACAAGTAGAAAATAAAAGCGAAGCTGACGAATTATTAGATGCTGCTAGACGTGAAAAGGATACATTAGAAACACAAGCAGCAGCTTTGCAAGAACAACTAGCACGTTCACATTGTGATCATGATCGTCTTAGGGATCAATATTCTCAACTTCAAGAAGAATACAAGGTATGATTTTAGTAGTGTATGAATATTTGTTTTAATAAATATACAAAATAAATAATACATCGTAAATGAATTTATAGGTTGCTCGAAATAATGCTAAATCGGCTATTGACGACTTGGAATATAGATTAAATCAATTGAAAGACGAGCGACTTTCTGTCAGTACAGAATTACAACTAGTAAGAGATTCTTTAGCAGAATTACAAACACAATGTCAACGACATCTAGAAGATAAAAGAGAATTGAAGGCTGCTCTTAGCGAAGCACAAAGGAGAGAACGCGAGGCACAAACTCATCAGTACGAGTTGGAACGTGCTTTGGCTGAGGAACGTAAATTGAGACAAGAAGAAAGTGCCGAGTGGGAACAATTCCAGACGGATTTACTTATGACTGTTAGAGTTGCGAATGACTTCAAAACTGAGGCCCAAAGCGAATTAGAACGTGTGGTTCTGGAAAACAAAACGCAAAGAGATAAACTAAGATCATTAGAGGCTCAACTAGATAAACTCAATAAAGGTAAGATAAGTACCTTTAATTCTTCAACAAATATAATATTCGAATATAACATGTAAAGTAATTCTCTCCTCAAATTGGATTCGGATATATTCACTAAACGATAATTGTTACAAGGAAAAAATTATTTTGTTCCTTTACATAAGCAGAAGAGTTACGTAAATTATATGTTATTAATTTATTGCTTCTTCTCTCTTTTTTTTCTTTTTTTTTTTTTTTTTTAATGTCTACACACTATTAGGCAATACCACAGTGTCCAACAATAAAATATTTGATACTACTAGCAGAAGTAAACGAAAACCGACTAGCATAATATTGAAACGTGGACGTACCATTACAAAACGTCCTTATGAAATAAGAAGACACATACCACCTACTAATTTTGTTCAAAAAATAATCAAAGAAAATTCATACAAGCTAACAAATAAATATATCGAGCTTACTCCTATCGATACAACAAAAGAAGAAAATATTACAAAGTTATCTAAAGATGAAACAGATCTAGGCAGTCCATGCTCTGTCAAAGAAGTTATTAAAGTAGACGAAAAATTAATGTCTGGTAAAGAGATCGAATTTTGTCCAGCTTCTCCCATAAAAACAAGAAGCCCTGATATGAATACGGGACTAAGTATATTAGAAAATAAGATTGTAGATTCGTCGAAAGAAAATGTCAATGAAGAATTATCTGAAAAATTATCTACTAAAAAACCTTTAAATATCCAGGAGAGAGAACTATATTCGGGGATAAATAATAGTACGAATATGGATATAGAAAAGACTTTAAAAAATGAGAATAATCATCATAAACTTTATATTCCTAAATCACCTAGCATAGATCAAAATATAACTTCTAAAAGCTCTCTATTAAAAAGTATTAAAGGAATTCAAACTGCTGATCAAAATTCATATGGCATTAATATTTCTAACAGTAGATTTTTCGTACCTAAAAATTATGTATTTTCCGACATCGACACTTCAATGGATGATCTCAAATTTGAAGTAGATCCTGAAATGAGCAAGTTATTGCAAAAAAGTACAAATAAAATTCTTAACGAAACTGATTCAAATTCAATCTCAGAAATTCCTAGTGAAAAATCTTCTATGGAAAATCTACCGATATTCGAAGAAACTGTGACCAAAGATATTCTTACGATGGGTAATAAAGAGAACTCCTCGTACGAACTTTCGGAAGAAAATAATTCAATGGAAGAAATTAACTTGACCGATAAAAAGAAACGATTATTTTTAAAAAAATATGAATCCAAACCGAGTAGCGAAATAGTTGATTCACTTTTGGATAATATACAGTATAGACCAAAATTGAATATGAACAATTATTTAAGGCATAAAAATTTTTCTACCTCATTAGATAATCTTGATTTCTATAGAATAACTCATAACAATGATAATATTAAGACTCATAGAAGTTACGAATCTCTTCCAATAATTGATTATGAAGTGAAGAATAAAACAGAAAAAGAAAAAAATTCCAATAAAAATCAATCTAATTTGGATGAGGAAAAACAAAATAATATTTCTACTAATAATAGTGAAAAATCTCCTGTAAAATGTAATTATCGTTCAACGTATGATACGAATACACATGCATCCATTTACAGACAAAGGAATATTGAAACAAAATTAAAAATAACTACGATTCCCATCAAGAATAAAGATAACAATTACAGTTCAAATAATATTTCTACCAAATTTCATTTAGAAAAAGATCAATTCAAAGATGTAGATTCTTTGAATTGTCGAAGAAAGAGTACAGGAAAATCAATTTATGAATTTAACAAATCGAAATCTTTTCAATATCTAAAACGTAACTATTTAGAAAAGCGTAATTCTTATCCATCTATGTCTTCTATGAAGCATATTCCTATATCTCCTCCTATTTGCAATACGATGCATTCTATAACACCATCATACACATCAAGTAGAACTTCAGCCTATACTTTAAGAGACAGCACTCATCAAACATCCGAACAATATTCTCCTACTAGAATGTTAAAAAAATCATTTAAAGATATATCCAAATACAATGATTTACAAAGTGACAGATATCTAGCTCTATGCGAAGCTAATCGTCTGAAACGTTTAAAATTTTTAAGAATGAATTTCCAAGCGGATTATGATATAGAAGATAAAAAGATACAAGTCAGTAACAGTCATGTTATTAGAAAAACATCAGCGAACGGTGGCAATTATAGTGCGGGTATTGTATCAGATGTATCGCAAAATGATACTAATTTTTCCTTGCTAAGCAAGGATCGAGCGATAGGTCGCACATCATCCTTGAGAGACAAATTTGAGACTATCATAGAAGATGTGGAACTGAGAGCGGGTCGACGTTCACTAATAGGAAAAACTTGCGACCGTAAGTCGCTACTATAGTGTGGAACAATGATTGATTGCTTTTACTGCAAAACTCGACTCATTGTTTGTCCTCGTTTATAAGCTAGCCATGAATACAGAAAGTTTAATATCTTATATGCTAGCCCCAAATGTGTTTATAGGTTTTCAAGTTATTACATATATGTCTAATCCTTCTTGATCCACTTATTGTTGTTAGCTTCTTGTGTTTTTAAAACTATTTGCTTTATGTTGTTATCCTTTAAAAATCAAATTTTTTTAGGTGTCTTGGGATTTATTATAATATTGTACATTTATTTATTTTTATCTTTAATTATTTTTCTTTCTTTCCCCTTCCCCCAGAAACAATTTTTCTATTATTTGCGCTTTATTTCATACATATTATTTGTTTTGCTTGTTGCTTTGTTTTGTCAAATTAAATTTTGAAATTTGTTGTAATCAAGGAATATTTTTGAATAGATCGGGTCGATTTTTCAGCAAATCAAAAAGTTGTACAACAGCCACCTCCAAGGCCAGCAAGTACACCAACGGAAACTACACAACAGTGTGTTTTAACAAGTGTAAGAAAGGCTAATATTTCGCGCCAAGATTCTAGATTATCTGTTAAATGTCTAATAGAAAGTATTGAAAATGCCACAAAACAGGCTAAAGCTGGTATGTCTTATATGTTCTTTCATTATACTCTATTATTCTCATATTATACATTGCTTATTTCATCTATTTTGTATTAGGACCTGGAAGCCGCAGCAGTTCAACGTCATCTTTGAATTCTATTGGAACAAATGATATAATGACACTGAAATCTCCTTTAAGAGATCAGCAACAAATAAACAATTTAATTTGTACATCTAATTCATCAAATAATAATAAAACACAGACGGCTATAAATAGGAAACCATTATCAGGTAATTTACCATATAACTTCAAGTATAATGGACACAAATTGCTTTTTTAATTCATAAAACTGCTTTTATTATATATTCTAATATTTATGCTTCTTTAGATCCTATTTCATTTATTTTTCAGTACTCATGCGTTTAGATATTTAATATGTAGACAATTTTTTTTTAATATGTATTAGTAATCATTTCGAAGACGTAAACCTTTTGGCTGTAAATTTTAATTTCATTGAGTATTTGGCTTTATATGTAACTTAAGCTACAAAAAGGATAATCTTTAATTTAAAAAATAAAAAAAGAATGAACACTCATATCTCATTTTCTTCTGCGCTTCAATATATCTCACGTAATTGCATGTTTATCATTCATTTTTTTTTTTCATATAAATAAAGGTGATTTGATTGATTATTTATTTATTATGTTGTCATTTCCTGTAATTTTTCTATGGTAATTTTGAATGTAGAAATATTGTTATCTCATCGGAATCATTATACTCTGCATTCTATTATTTCATCAAATTTTTACACTGCTTATATATACACTACATAAGATAAATAGCTTCACATTACATGTAACAAATAAAGCTTGATAAATTTACTTTACTCAACCATCTTATCTTCCAATTCCTTAACACAGAAACAAAATCAGCAGTACCTGTGGTTTTAAGTCCTGGTGAACTTTTGGATTCTGCTGCACTAAATGTCAAGGCTATTGATTTTGTTCGTCGAAATAGTGTGGCAGATTTATCAGAACGTAAAGATCCTCTTTGCGGTTTAATCAAGAATGGAGGTTCAAAGAGAAATGCATTACTTAAGTGGTGTCAAAACAAAACATTAGGCTATCGAAATATCGATATAACTAATTTTAGCAGTTCTTGGAATGATGGCTTAGCTCTTTGTGCTATTCTTCATTCGTATCTTCCATATAAAGTACCGTATGATACTTTAACGCCTACCGAAAAAAGAAAAAATTTCTCCATCGCATTCTCTGCAGCTGAAAGTGTTGGCATACCTACTACTTTGGTAAGTTAAAAAAAAAGAATAAAAAATCCATAAGTTTTTATAATCAATGAAATGATAAAGGAAATGTAAAAATATGAATAAATTAAGAATTTATTGCGAGCAATAATTATAAATCTTCTTTCTTCACAGAATATAGGAGAAATGTGTCAACTGGAACGACCTGATTGGCAACAAGTCATGACATATGTGACTAGTATTTATAAACATTTTGAAACGTAATTGTGGTCATTATCAAAGATCAAGCTATATCATCTTTTCCATTGAATCCTCTTACACTTATTTGAGTGATCAAGAACAACGGCATCTAGTCAACTAAATTCTGCAAGACACAATTTTATACGAATTTTTGATTATTGCTGGATTAGAGCACTGCCTATACTGTATATATAGCTTTATGTGAAAGGATCTATTGAAGCATACAGAGAATTCGATGGAAGACTACACACCAAATGGAATTGCTTTTATCATGAGACTGAAAACTTATTTACACATGTGTACGCATACATACTATGTATAGTTAAAAACCAAGAAATATGGATATTTAAATCTAACGAAAGTATAAAACAAATACCTTTTATATATATACATATAAATATATAAAAGGAAAGATATATATATATATATAAAAAATTAAATGCAAACTTCATACGACTTTCTATAATAAATATATAACTGTGCTTTGCAGTGTCTTCTTGGCAGAACTATGCTATACGCATTGCAACAGGCTGTATTGCAAATGCGAAAATACATGTTTACATAGTAGAGTCTTACATATTTGCAAATAATAAATGTCAAGTATTTGCGTTCCTCATACTGTATTTTTGTACTTGGATTATTTTTCGAAATACTTTTGTAAATTTATGAACGATGTACAGAACTAAGCGCCTTAATTTAAGATATCTAATTTATTGCATTAGTCATGTTTAGTCCACTATGAAGCAAAGCAGCATATTATTAGAAGAGATTGTTTATGTTCTATTTTACTGAATGAGATAGGATTAAAAAGAAAAAGAAATGATTAAAGGCTAAGTTCTCTGTGATATAGGAAGGTAGCCTCGATACAGAGATACAGACGTTATCGTTATTGTTCTTATCATTAGCGCTAATATTAATATCGTCCTTGTCGTCGTTGTTATATTAATATAGACAATATGCTGTCTGATATAAAACAATAAACTTGCCTGATATATGGATATTTAAAAAAAACTATATTTTTTTTCTTTATTTTAATTTCACCATATTATGTTATTTGCGACATAAAAAAAATAACATTCATTTAGATAAAAGATATAATTTAATTATTTTATAGTACAATCGTTAGATAATTAAAAATAAGTGTATTAGACTGTATAATCAAAATAATTATTTACAGTTAACATGTGACTATATTACAGTATATAATTTTCTGTAATTTTTCAGTTGTTACAATTGACTTTTTCGTTTTTATTCATTCATAGAATTAGATTTCTTTTATTTTCATCATGTTTCACTGACATCCATTTTATCTTGATCCTTATCACCTGAATAATATTCGTTAGCTGGCTCAATTATTTTATCCGTGTCTTGTGCATTTTGTCTAGAATCTGGATCAGGCTCTGGTTGTCTTTCTTCTTCTGGCGATAATGCATCGCATGGTACATCTTGCATTTGAACACTCGGTGAATGTTGTATCATTTTTAAATTATCATAAACATGCCTTGTTATTGCTTCTAAATATTGTTTGCTATTTGCATTATCTGGTCTTGTAACAACTTCAGGATGTAATGTAAAGTCTGGTGCAAAATATTCTAAGTATTCGGTATAAGGTAATTCATTGCTGATTTGTTCATCAACAAGTAAAGATGTTTCATATGTCCAACAACGTGCTACATTACGAAGAGTATAACCACCGCCACCAACAGTAAGTAAAGGTACATGTAAATCTCTGACAAATTTCACGCATTCTCCATGACCTTTAGTACTTAAACTGAAACATCCAAGTCTATCATTTGCTAAAGAATCTGCACCACATTGTAATACAATTGCTGTTGGTTGGAAAAACTCCATGACATGTGAGATTACAGGCTTAAATACCTGTACGTAAGATGTATCGTCTATACCCTCTTTCAATGGTACATTTACAGAATAATATCTGCCACTTTCTGCTCCTATTTCATACATGTCTCCTGTTCCAGGAAAAAAATAATTTCCATATTTGTGAAACGAAACAGTCATGACTCTGTCAGTAAGATAAAATGCTTCTTGTACACCATCACCATGATGAACGTCAATATCTATATATAATACTCTAGCATGATATTTTAATAATTCTAAAATAGCTATTACAATATCATTTATGTAACAAAATCCTGATGCTTCGAATTTTTTAGCATGGTGCAAACCTCCGCTCCAGTTGATTGCTATGTCACAACAATTGTTATTTAATTTAGTAGCACCTTCCAAAGATGCTCCAGTATACATAGAACAAAAATCAAATAGTCCTTCGAAAACAGGACAATCATCTCCTACATTAAAGTGACTAAGATATTTTGTATATCCTTGTAAATTTTGTGGTGTAACTCTTTGTAAGAATTCTACATATTCGTCTGAATGAAACCGGCACATATCGTGAGTGCTTGCACGATAGGGACGATATATTTGCATTTTCTTATGTAAACCATAATTAAGAACCAAACTATGAATGACGGACAATCTATGAGGTTTCATTGGGTGTCCAGGACCATAATGAAAATTTCCAACATCCGGATTGTAAAAATATGATACTTTCTTATTATAACTCATTTTGAGGATATATACTTAATTTCGTATTATTCGGCCAGCTCTTAACAGACACTTGTTATTTTCCACGTATTAATGTGTTAAGAAAAATATCGATATTCTTATTAAAAAATGCCCATTCCAAATGTTTATTATTCATCCATTCTTCATTTATTTGGAAACGTAACACATTTTTTGGTATTAAACCGAAATTTAGGTCAAAAACACAATACATTGCACGTTTAAACTACGTGAAAGATCACTAAAATAAATTATCAAAGTAAAATATAGTATTTTGATGTTTTAAATATTCGTTGTCTATATAAATTTCTAGACATTTAATTATTACTAATCGCAGATGTAAATAACAACGAATATCTCTCTATCGAGATAAAAAAGAGAGAGAGAAGGTAGCGCCATCTTACCGAACTGACTTTCAATTTGTCGAGAAAGCGGAAAATTCAATACGAAATCGACAATGAGAAATCTTTTTAATTATGAAAATATGCATTTAATAATCTAATAAATAAATATATCAATAAATAAAAGTAGGCTAATATATAAAGTACTATTTAAATAAAGAAAAGTTAAGGAAATATAGGTTAATACAAATTATTTATTTCGTACTTTCGAGATATGCGAGAGTTGCATCGAGGTATGAATACATAGTCAGCATCTATCGATGTTTTGTCAGTAGCAACGGTTAGCAACGAGCTCCGACGACGCTTCATTTCAGAGAGAGAATGCGGATATTTAAAGTATTCTTCGTAACAGCTACATATGTTAATGAAATCATAAGTAAAGTAATACTTTGATTTAACATTAAAAATATCTAATTTTCAATTAAATTCCAAAAAGAATATCGTGAGACTAAGAACATTATAATAACTTTGAAATGCGTCCTGATTCTCGTAGCGTCTCGTTCACGTTCCATCGTGAGGTTTTAAGTGTTCGAAATTCGCCAGAATTGATACGTACTTCTAAGAACTTTAGACAACGTCTTCAAGATCGTTTCGACAAAGACAAATCTAATGAGTCTTCCAAACAGAAAACTTCGAAAGAGAAAGATGTTACTGAACGTGGTTGGAATAATTTGAGTCTTGGAAACGTGTCCGCTGATTCTAGACGGGCTTTACGAAATGGTGCTGAAAGATTATCTAAAACCATATCAACTGTAAGAACAACGTTTGGTACTATTTCACAGGTTGGTTACATTTATATATCATATTATATAATTAGGTAAATTAATTGTAATATTTATTTTGTATACTTATTTTATTGATTTCCTATCATATAGAAATTTAGAAGCTCAACGCGAAGGCGTCAAAGATTAGAAGAACAACAATCTCCTGGAAATTATAAAACGCAAACTCCTCAGTCACGTTCTCGCCAATTATTAGGACGTACACCAACTAAATTATATAGTCCTTTTGGTATAGAATCTCCTAAACGTGGTTGGAATAAAGAGAATGATGTAACAACGGTACAAGAAACACCTGAAAATCATTCACGTCAGATACAATGCAGACCATTCCGTTTTGTAAGAGCAAGAGGATTTTCTGTGCTGAGATAAAGAATTATTTTGAGGGCAATCATGTTTTAACAATATTTTGCCTTTTAAGAAATATGTGAAGAAATGCACGTTTAGTACAACTAAGCACTTAATTTATTTCATTCCAATGAATGATGATGCAGCTATTTATATATTTTATCATCATGCTAATAATCATTTTATAATGGTAATTAATATTGTTTAAATACTATTTAAACACATGTTCATTATTTTTTCATCATTTCATTCTTAGATATTTTAGATGAATATTTATACTTTTTTATATGTATTTATAATGATTACGCTTGCAATGTGAGATAAAAAGAGAAATAGATTATAATCTGTTTATTAAAATACCAACCACTGATCAAAATCTCCTTAAAATTAGGTTATCCGAAACAAAAATCATTTTTGAGAAGGTAAGAATTAATCGATAGTTTTTAATATCGCTAACATCTTATTATTATTTTCAATTTTAATCACTATAATATAACAATTTATATACAATCACATGGGAAAAGATCACAATCAATCTGTATTTGTGGCACTACTATGCACTAAATACAAATGTTCTATGTATAAATATAGAACACTTACAACTAGATTGATTCAAATAAAGAATTGAAAATAAAATTATATTGAAACGTAAATAAATTTTCTTTTTCTAAGAAACACATATATACATATATAACGATTAAAAATATATTTCATCACGTCATTTTACGAAAACCAAAACGCACGTGTGATTTTAACGACGCAGTTCCGAAAAATTCTCGACGATATCGGAAATGCGGTTGCCAGAAGAAATATTCTAAAAGCAGGAAGGAAATCAACACAATTACCAATAAAATATTTAACAATGGGAATCAATCGATTTTATATAATAAACAAATACAAATAATTATAACTAGGTCACGTGTAAATGTTTTAACAAATATTTAAATTCGTAAATAATGTTCATACAATTTTTCTTTTTTTATTGAAAATAATACGCGAAATATTAATCTAAAAGAAAATTTACGATCGAAACGATAGCCATATGTGTTTTGTTCTAAATTAAAACAATTATAATTGATATAAATATATTTATCGTTAATATAGAGATGATGCAATTATTTTAGAAAAATTGAAAATGAAAGAATATGGTAGAATATACGGGATTAAATTTTCGAAAGCACTATTCGATATCTATGAATAGCTGGTGCATATAAAGGTGTATAGAAGGACGATAGCGTCGTTATAGCGCAATGCGGAGATCCGAGATATGTGCATATATATGTGCATATACATACACACACATATGTATGCCACTTTCCCAGATCCCTTTAACAATTACTAATACTATTACCTAACAATTTTCTTTATTTATTATTTTCGTAATTCATTATTTTATTTTTAAATAAATTTTGCGTAGAGAGTATTTAATGATGAACTGTTACTTCCCCCTTTATATATAATTATGCACATCGCATGTATCAGTGTAAGCTTAGAGTGTAATAATATACGAGAAAACCAATGAAAGTATAAAGTTATTTTTACGATATAGGACATCCTTGTCAATGAAACGGATCTTCGATAAATTTCTTGTATCAAAGTTTACGTTAAATTAAAATTTTTAAATGATTTTTTTTGTCTACAGAGTGGGCCATGGAAAAGTATCCCATTTCTCATTGTGATATTTTTTTCTTTGTGTTCTATTGATATAATAATGATATATTATACAAAAAAAAAGAAAACATGACAAGTGTACGTATAAATTTGATTTTTGTATTTATACTGGTGCTCTAAATTTGGGCTAGTTTTTCGTGGCTCAGTATATAAGTATAAAGGAACAATTTCATTTAATCCGGTGTTAATATCGTATGATATTGTTCTAGAAGATCAATTCGAGATAATAAAATAATCGTAGTTGAAAGAATCGAAAAAAACGATATTAAATAACCGAATATTTTATTAAGAAAGTTTATTGTTAATAGGAGATGCGGTATGATAATCGAAATCATTGATTTATCGATCGTTTTAACTGATAATATAATGATCAATAATGAATTATTTATCGTTTATAGTTGAATCAATACAGTTAATTCGTTAATGACAATATTCAAATATTAGAAGCACCTTTAATAGTTACGTTCAAAACTATCGAACAAGAATATATAGACATGTAGTAACTACCTATATATTATTTTAAAGTAAGTTTTCAGAGAGAAACCAATATCAATTATCGATATCCGATCGATATGAATAGTTTCTTGTTAATATGCGCAGTTGTTGCTCGAGCAATCTTGTGTAACATGAAACAAAAGAAGATAAATTTAATAACTCGTCGTCCATTACAAATAATACGCATATACAGCTTCCTCGTTTCTTCGTTTTCCACGAAAATATTTAAAGGTAGAAGTCTGAAAACGAGTGAAGCTATTATATAGGTGAACAATATACCAAACGTGATGCGATTATTGCAATGATCGCTGGTTTTCCCTGGAATAAAATATCGAGGTATGTTTGTTTGGTTAGGCTAGATATAATATACAGCATAGAAAAAAAAACTAAAATATTCAGAAAAAGTGTACCATAAATATTGAGTTAATTATTTTTTTTGTATAAGATCTGTTTATCAAAATCAAATTTGTAGTTAAGGATATTTTCAATAATTTTATTATCGTTTATTTTGATGAATTAGATAAGCAAAATATCTTATAAAATATAAAAAAGTTAGAAATCTCAATCAAATTTTTCAATATCCTTTTTCTTCTTCTCCTCTCGATGTTCCTTGATTTTTAATTCTTTTATAAATATAGATTTACTGAAATAACAACGGTATTAAAACGCGAAGGTCGTCTTATATGATATTTTGCCAATCGAAATTACAAATTTATTGTATTTTCATGATGATTGGCCAAAATTCAAAAGACATCAGTGTCCCCGCGTTTCAAAATTATCTCTACAAATTTGGGTACTGATTGAAAAATAATTAAAGTTGCTCTGGAGAATCGAGTAAAGTATGTTTACGAACGTTGACAAGAAACATTAATGTTTAATATCTGTCTTTGGTTGATATAATTTTCGATAAGAAAAAAAGAAAAAAAAAGAAAGAAACAAACAAAAAATTAGGGAAACGATGTATAGAGTTGCGTTCCATTTATTGCAAGATTCGTATATTGGTGTATGCAATAACCTTTGAAAAATTGGCAAGAGGTTCAAACGACATATAAAAGCGTTAGGAGAATTTTAGGCGGGACAGTTTTTCCCCTTCCAATTTGCTTTTTCTTGGAAAATGGCCGTAGATGGTACACGATTGATTGTGCGCATGCTCAAAATGGACACGCATGCGCGAGTGCCATCGACGGTACTATTTGCAATGTATTGGAGTGCATATACATAGAAATTTGTGTAATGCCGCGTGCCGCAAGAGGGCGGTGAAATGGAGATAGGTCAGGGGCTGGGCTTGAAGCGAATATGAGCTTTATGGCACGCGGAGTTGCCCGTTAGAGTTTCAACAGTGGCGTTTTCCGTATTCACGTGTTTCTGACGGTATCCATTACATCTTCATTTACTTTCACGGTTTTCCTTATATTTTTTCTCCCTTCTTTCATCCTTTTGCCGTTTCTAAGTTATATTCGTTTACGGTAACGTTTACGACCGTGATACTCCAAAACGACTAAAGTGCGCGGAGGAGGAAACGCAGCGGTTATATCCATACAATCCAACGCTAACCGATAATGTTTCGACGCGTGTTTCTACGATGGTGAAAGGCGCTTACATAATTTTACGCAAGCTAGTTCTTTTCCTTTGGTAATAAACGCGTGTGGTCTTGTGTGCTACTTTGGACAAATCGGTTTAATTTCACTAGTGTCATACTTTTTAATGTGTTAAAGCGCGAACATTATTGTACGTTCTTACACTTCCTCTGTTGTTTCAGCGTTGCTCCATTTTTTGGTAGGTATATCTCTCTCTTCCTCTTTCTCTTTGCGCTACAGTTGCGCGCTCTTCCCTTCTTTCGTTCTCCTCTCTGTCCCCTTCCATTTCTTCTTCCCTCCTTTCATTTTCCTGTGTTCCCTTCTCTCCCCATTCTTCCTCTTGCTATCATCCCTCTATCGGCTTGGTCGATTCACTAGTCCGCCGGGTTATTCGCTTCTCCCGGGATTCTTCAAAATAAGGACAAAGCGTTTCATTATGAATAAATTTTCATTCAATCATAACCTACAATTTTCTAAATAACAAGATGTGTTATTTAAAATCTATGAGAAGTTGTCCAAAGATTCTTAAGCGTCACCTTCGACGAATTTCCGTTTTCTCGAAATATCCAGTCCTTTCTTTTTTTTTGTCTTTATGTTACAGTGAAAATTTGTACATTACAAGTTTTTAGTGTACCGAAAGCTTGCTCCCGAGCGAACTTCATAAACGGTACGAGGGAGTTTCTTTTTGCGCATTTAGTAATACGTTTAGGAATAGTTAATGTTACACGAGAACATTGTTGTCAAATAATATCGATTTGATAATAGTTACATTCCATAATACTCCAAAGGTATTGTGCCAGTCGTGCTTCTTTGCGCTTGAATTATAAGTGTTTCCAATCTCTTTTTCAATATTATGAAATAGTAATATCTTTGTTTTATTATTTAATTACTATAAGTTATATAAGTTATTATGTATGTAAAAAATATGATTAACATTTATAATAGTCATTACAAAGGGTCTATTTTCATTGATGCATTCCCAAAATTTGTTCAACCAGTCTGTAGTAAAATTATTTTCTTACATTTTTCTTTCTGTTTGGAATATTCATATTTCCATAAAATTTTGAAAATTTTTATGCAAATATCCACTAAAAACGTATAAGTCAATTTATTTTATTCCTGTTCATTATTAATAGCTGGTTTATACAAACTAAGATTTATACCAAATGGCTGACACAAACCAGTGCACACCAGTAGGAAAACATTTCTGTTTACTTGTAACGAAACAATAAAGTTGTTTTCTTATCATTAATAGTAATAAAAGTTTTAGCATAAATTTGCATGTTCATGCGTTACGAAGGAACGTACAATATATTTTGGGCTTTTTTTATTCATTTATTCAAGTTAATTCTGTTTGGTCCTTACTTGCCTTTGTTTTTTGTTTCTCGTACACAGGTCTGCCATCATAAATATGCACATTTATTTTCTATTTATTTTATATTACTTAAAAAAGTGAAAACGTTCAAGGGCACAGACCGATCAACGATCATGGCATTGCACGGGGAAAACGTAGTAATGAATTTGTTTATATTTTTTGTATTTGCTGACCCCGTCGATGGTTTCATTGGGCTAAATCAGTCGGAGTATACAGCGATCCCAGCCAGGAAACTTGGAATTGGTATTATTGCTCTAAAGTCTGAGCAGAGTCTTGAAACAAGGTGAAGAAATTGGACAAACATTATCAAAATGACTGATCAGCTAGAGCAACAGCAGCAGCAGCAACAACAACAACAACAACAACAACAACAATCTCAGCAGCATACAAAAGGCAACGATGAGCCACGGACAAATTTAATTATTAATTATCTTCCACAAAGTATGACAGAGAAGGATCTCTACAGCTTATTTGTCACGATAGGACCTGTAGAATCATGCCGAGTAATGAAAGACTACAAAGTACGTCAAGTATTTATATATATATTTGTCTACATTATTTTCGAAGTATTCACAACCTTATTAAAAATATTTTCTTTTTAACTTTTTTAGACCGGTTATAGTTATGGTTTTGGTTTCGTAAACTATACAAAAGCGGATGATGCTTTGACAGCAATAAATACATTAAATGGTCTGCAGGTACAAAACAAGCGATTAAAAGTTTCCTTTGCTCGTCCATCTGGAGAAGAAATTAAAGAAACCAATTTATACGTCACCAATTTACCTAGGTATATTTTCAATACACAAGTTCATATGGTTATAACAATTATTATAATATAAAAATGATATAAACTTCTTGATCTTTAGTTTTATATATTTATATTTTCTTCTTTTTTTATAGAAATATCACGGAAAGTCAAATTGATGATATATTTAGCAAGTTTGGAAATATTGTGCAGAAAAACATTTTAAAGGACAAACTTACCGGCTTACCCAGAGGCGTAGCATTTGTCAGGTGGGTTTTTTTAGTTAACACTTGAAAACTGTATGCTATAAATTATAGCTTTAATAATATTATTTATTGTGAGTTTATTTATTGGAAAACGATTTATATGTCAACTTTTATAGTGCGTATAAAATTTGTGCATATGAATTTAACGATATAAGTTGGATCATAGTCAAGAATAACAGCTGTTAGAAATGAGACTAATTGTATCATTATGCAATCTAAATTCGCGCATAATACACATTTATTTACTATACATAAGATATTTGTTGCCAAATTATTTTTATACGATTCTTGGCCTGACCACTATAATTTCAATTTTATGTCTTTACGATTGCTGCTCTAGTTAACTATTAAAATACATATAACTGAAAATTCAGGTTGTGTAGAATAGCTTTATTGTTGAAAATAGTATCAAAAGTATGTCACTAACTGAATGTAGGCTGAATATAGAATTAGTACTAATGATTTCCTTACATAAGAGAAATAACTAAGAAATTCATTAGCTAATATATTTTCTATTAAAGATATGTAAATAACATATTTAGCATTGATATTTAATTGAACTTAAGTAGTAAAAATAATTTTATGAACAATTTTATTCTATTATTAAAGATTTGATAAACGTGAAGAAGCACAAGAAGCTATCGCACAACTTCATGGTACCGTACCGGAAGGTGGATCAGAAAGACTTAGTGTAAAGATAGCAGAAGAGCATGGAAAACAAAAAGCAGCATATTATGCAGGTTGGCAAGCTGGCTACAATCAAAGTAGAGGTAAGTAATTTAAAAGTAATTTATATTATATTTATATGCCCTAGTTTTAGTATTATTCTGACAGTAGAAATAATAAACCATAAATATAATTAAAAAATATAATATTACTTTAATTAATAAAGAGAAATATAAAATAATGTAGTAATGTATTTTTATTGTCAGAGGTGCTTTGCATTGCGCTTTACACTTTCTCTGATTAATGGCGCATGAATGATTGCATTATATATTGTAACTGTCGGAAAAGTAATTCCTATCCTCTTGGTGTGGTTTAGTTACTTAATAACAAAAATACATTGATATTTCTTATATATTGTAAGATTTTCATAGGCTATTGCATTATCTTACATACTTTTTAAGTATGAATGTAACTTATTTGTGCTGGTAATTATGACAGTGGATTAGGTCAAAAAATTGAAAAAAAGAATTTTATGATTTATTTTACATTAAAATTACTCGTATTACAAAATAAATCATAAAATAAATTTAAACAATTTTTTTTACTTATTTCACAGTCCAGTAACCGGCACATTTATTTATTAATTACTTTTTGAATAAAATTGATTTTCATTTAATCAATAATTAAGTATTTAAGATCTTTTGCAAATCTACTCTTTATACATACATATGTATATATATGTCATAGTAATGCATATATAAAATTGTATGCTAATATATATAATAAATATTTGCATAGAATTTTATATTTGCATTACTGTAGATAAAATATCTAATACTTTAATGTTTTGCCAGATAAGATGGCTGCCTGTAGATCAGACTTCAACGATTTATCGCACTAGTCCCTTTTACATGGAAAAGTGTTCTTTATAATTCTATCGTGCGCAATATACTGCAGCAACTTTTGCCATAGCCGAAATTTTTTCGGACATTTTTCTATCAGTTTCTAATAATAGTGTGCATGATTTAGTGTGAAATATGTTTCCTCTATGAGTGTTTATTATGCACTATAAAAAAAAAATATGTTTCTCTCTCATCAGTAATATTAACAAAAAAAAGAAAACAACAAAAAACCGGACAATGATAGTGTTGTGGATTAAATATCTTGTGTGTGAAGAAATGAAAACGTAATTATTTTTTAAGTGATTATTAAAATGTCAATACGATTTCGTTATACAGAATATTGTCAATAATTTAATCTTTAACAAATTTATTCCTCATTATGAGTTATTATTTCGTGAAAATTATATTTTATATTAAACATAATGTATAATTGTGTCTCATAAAAAACATAGATTTAGTTGATTTATATTATAACTTCATACTTTTCGTGTATCTATATATATATATATTAATTTATATATATATATAAATAGTTTCCTTTGTATCACAATTTATGTTCAAATACATTGCTTTTGTTAAATTCTAAACGGTCGAAGTATAGTTTTGGTATAAATATAATAGTTACTACTATTTTGTATATTCATTAAACCCATTCTCCTATTAATCTTAAGTGCGCATTGCGTGCGTATGATATTAGGACAGATATTATATATCGAAAAGATATTGCGCGAGAAAAAAAAACTATTAAAAATAGTAAGTTTGAGATATTGAAAATAACTATATACGACAGTATATTTATATGAAATCTGTTATAAATTAATTATTATTATAAACAAATGTATCCTATATCAATACTGTCACTCGTGATAGTTTTATTTAATACATATATATATATATATATATTTATATATATATATTAAATTCTATAATTAGAAATATATCAGTCTACCAAATTGCCTGCTATTTATTTGTAATATGCATATGCTAATTTATGATAATTGGGCTGTGACTGCATCGGTGAGAAGCCCGCTTGATTATAATTCTAAGTGCATGGCTGTGTCTTGTATCGAACAATTAAGGTCTTTGAATAATTCGAGTAAAAAATATTCATTTAATGTTTCATTTTTATTTCTATGCTTACCAATCTTCAAAGGAGAGCGCCTATATCCAACCAGGAATAAATATCAGCGCTATGACCACTATCTTTATAAAAGATTATAAACGTATTTAATTTTGTTGAAATCTCTCATATATATGCTTCATTATTACTTGCAGTTGTTATTGCGAATTTTTATGAAATTTAAAATATAAAAAGAGATATTAATTGTTTGTAACATTTTATGAAACTGACACATAAAAGTGATTTCTAAGTATTCTAAAAGAGTACTAAGAAAAAAAAATATTTAATAACTTAAGCGTTGCTTTTCTTATTTTAGATTAACTGAAATTATATACGCAATATTATTTATCTAAACAAAATTGTTAATTTTTAAACTTCAGCTATGATAAATATTGATATAGGAATTGCATTAAAAACAATAAACACACATTTAATCAAACTTTAGAAAATTATTAGTTGCTAAAACAGTCGCGCGCGCGAGAGAAATAATTTAATACGACTATTGTAGTTTGATGAAATTGGATATGTAAAGTTAACAATTTTACTGACGATTATATCTTTATCATATTTGTTCTATAATTTTATAGATAGTATCATTTTCATATATATATAAATATATTTCTTTTTTTTTAAAGCTTTTTGTAGTAGCACAAGCAAACAGACGCTTATAAAATTCAACATAACGCTAATGACGTACATAATAATTTTCAAAGTTCATGATTAAACGATAATTGTGATTTAAATGACACAGCATGCTCTGAAAATATGCATACGTATTAAGAAAGAAAGAAAGAAAGACAAACAAATAGGAAAAAGAAACTGAAATATTACTCGGAATGTTATTATAATTTTGGAATGTGATAACAAAATGAATTGCTAACATTTTTTTATTTTTCTTCTTATCTCTTATTTTTTTTTTTCCCACATATTCTGTAACTTTAATTTATACATCACATATACATAATCGAATAATAGCTTGAAATCTTGCAGCTTTCACTTTTATGACTTTATGCTAAATCTCAAACAAAAAATAGAAAAAAAGGAAGGAAAAAAAAAAGGAAAAAAAGATAGAAAATTAGTTATCATTCAAAAATTTTTTAGGATTTGAAGAGATCATACGAATAGATCTATAGATCTTTTCAGATTTTACTTATACATTGCTAATGCATATGTTACAATATCTATACACGATTAACTGTTTTTGATATGAAGGAATGCAATTTATTGTTCCAATTAATCTCAATGATGTTCTTCAATAAAAAACTTATGTAACGTCTATGTAACAATGTTGTTATGGTGCGATCAATCAAACTGCGAAAACTCTTTCGCTAATAGTAATAATAATAATAATAATAATAATAATAATAATAATAATAATAATAATAATAATAATAATAATTTTTAAGCATGAATGTTGTACAGTTTATCGTTAAGATCCATGATTCCAATGTTATGAGATTATAGTAGTTAGACGTATGATCAAATCAACACCTAAAGCATATATCTATATACGTAATATATGTTTAACACTTTTTTGTAACAATAATCACCTTTAACGTGGTCTATTAATCAAGGAGATATTGAATAATGTTACAACGACGCGTCTTTTGCGAAATTATACGAATCTCATTGTTATTAAAAATATTACGTATATATATATATATAAAATTTATGTATATCTCACGAGCTATTGAAGCAATCGTCGGATGTTATACTTTGTTGAATGAATAATCACTAAACGATGTGCGTGTATGTGTGTGCGTATGTATGATGTACGTACGTACGTGTTGGCTAGAACATTTTATCATAAAACTCAGGATATTAATGTTAGAACACATTTTCTCGTTTAATTTTTTATATATTAGTTTTTGTAATTCTTCTGCACATATTCCACCATTTGAGGTGGTATCCTTCAAATGCGATAGAATTTGTTGTTAAAAAAATTGAAAAGAAAGAAAGAAAGAAAAAAGAAAACGAATAATGATAACACAAAAAAGATGCATAAGTAGTTATTGTTCCGTCGTTCGTTGTAACGACAGATAAATATTTATTAATCAATCGCATTTTTCTTGTTAACGGTGATTGTCTTATTAATCAATGTATTTAATGATCGATCGAATTATTAATAATATTGACTTTGGTTCGTGATAGGATCACGAACATAAGAAGAAACATATATATGTATATCTTATTTGACTTTGACAATCGTCCATTTTTTTACGTAAAGTTAGAAATACATATATTCGATATTGTTCGAAGTAATATATATATATATATATATATATATATATTATCTTCTACATCGGCTGATCGAGAGAGAAAGAAAGAAAGGAAGAAAAAGAGAGAGAGAGAGAGAGAGACACGTTGTTGTAAAACTCACGATAGCACGTCGTGTTGTTCTTCATATAATATAATCCACCTTGTTCGAATGGAGATCATTATACAGACTGAATTGTATGACGTTATCACACGTAATTGGAAAATTGAAGAATTTATTACATATATTTCTATAAGCTTGGGATTCTCAATGTGGAATGTATGGTAAAATATATATATATATACAATGAGTATCTATACAGTTATGTATACATTTTAATGGGGAACTTTTATGAAATATAAAATGTTGAGAATCACTGTTATTCTTGGACATTCAGTTTGAATGAAAGAAATTTACGAATAAGTCCAAATATATATATAGATATAAAATAACTATTCATATAATGAGTAAAATAACAAGTCATGTAATATGATTCACTCTGTATAAATGATCAAAATTATTGGATAATAATGGAGAGAAAGAAAAAAAAGAGAGAGAGTCGTAGCTTTAGGGAATTTAATATTGCGAATGCCCCTGGTATTTGACGCACTTCCATTGTTCGGCCAATATGCGATTTGAAATTTATTTAATTTCAAAATACAATAGAGCCTCTCGTATCTGTAATTATAGATAGATGAGGGAATTTTTGGATATCACTTTTTATATCGACACTTTATATAGATATTTAAAAATCCTATATCTTTTTAAATGTTAAATTGCATAGGCTTTTTAACACAAATAATTGTATGGAATTATATTCTTTTTGTACTTTAAACCATCGAAGCTCTCTTTTAAATTTTTCAAATGCTTCAGCATGAATAGGCATGCTTCTGTTTGCTATTTTTGCTTGCATAAAGTTTATTATATAAAAATGATATCATTGTTGTTAAAATCATCACAAGCTGGTAAAATGCTATGGCAATGTAGTTAACAGCTTCTTCAACATCCTCTACAATTATTTGTGGAGGAAATACTCTTTCCAACATTTTTGTGGCAATATACTTTCCAAATTAAATCCACCTGATTAGCATAGCTTGTATTTGCTAATGCATATTTATTTTTTAGATTAATTAAACTTTTTCTACTAGTATCCATCCAAGAAATCTGCATGTAGCACATAATTTTTGATTTCATATTTTTATTTATTAATATCTGAGATCGTAGATTGACAAATATGCATTCTTGATAATTTTGCTGCACTATCACTATTATTAGCTTCATACACAAAGTTATAACTAAAATTTCTTTGACCAAATAAGAGAAAGTGTATATAAAATAATGTATGCACTCATTGTTATTTAAATAACAAAAATTCCGATACGAGAAAAAAAAAAGATTAAATATGTTAACATCGTTACGAAACGAGAATGGCAAATATGGGAGGCCCTATTGTATTATGCAATTGAATTTGTTTAATATATTTATATATGTATAATGTATGCGCAATTCTTTTTCTACTTACTTTTGGTCGTCTCACTGCGTTCATTGTTGTTGTTGTTGTTGTTGTTGTTATCGCGTAAAACAAAGCTTGAAATTTTACATCGTCAACTGCACAACCACAGGAAATGAGAAAGAAGCAGACGAATCGATCGACGAAGGCACAATTATAGTCTAACGGAAATCAAATTTTCATTATCAATCTTATAGACCAAATTATCTTAAGAGAAAATATACACATGCCACTATTTAATATCGTACATACCGAGTATTCGAGTCGCATTTTTCATCTACTATTATTTAAATATATACACGTACAGAGAATTTGTGAAAATTAACGTGGTCTGTTCGGCTGACCAGTTCAAAATCTGCTTCTCTTCTGCTACTTTCTATGCGACTACATTAACTTTCGTTATTCTTCTTTACAAACCCCTATATTCTTTTAAATGAAAGTATTTGACCTTGCACGCACGCACGCGACACACAAACACTTGTATGCGTGTATGCATTGAATAGACCAAAGGATTTTTGGGGTATTTTTCACAATCAACTACTCTTTTCATAGGATTCTATTGTATGAACAGTGACCTTTTCTTTTTTCTCTATCGAATTTAAAAAAAATTTTATTCAACCAACAAAATTTCGAAAAATTCCCAGAAAAAGTATATAATTTAGAAAATAATCTAGGAACATTTGACTTTTCTAATGTTTTATGTTATTTTATTGTAAAATAGAATGATAGATATTGAATTTTGAATATATGTCTCTTAAAAAATAATTATTATATAATTTATTTTTCGAAAAGAAAATGTCTTGGCATATTCTTATTTGTGCATTTATTCGAAAGAAATAATTGTTTAGATTTTAAATAAAAATGCGACACGTTAACTCGTACGACATTAATTAGAGATATGTACGTTGTAAATAAGTTGATGGAAGTTGCAGTTAGAGGATTCTAATTTAAGTAGTAAATTGTAAGGTTTTTAAAACTGGTTGATGATGGAGCTCGGGTGAAATGATATTATCGAAGTCCGGTAGTGCTAACGATGGCTGTGATAAGAAATAAGGACAAAATAACGCCGAATGAAAAATAAAATGTGAACACAGTAAAAAACAAAAAAGGGACTGTCGATACAAAAAAATACATAGTTGTAAATCGAGAAATTGATGTTAAACGATGCTCAAAATATATGCATACGTAATGTATTATATATATATATATATATATATATATATATACATTACGTATGCATGTCCCGTTCTCCTCTTTGTGTTTCAATCAATTACATTAATATGAATACGATTTGGTTTGATTTTCAAATATATACAGCGAAAGGAAGAACGTAATTTTAATGGCATGCTGCTGTTGCAAAAAAAAGAAAAAGAAAACAAAAAAATTGATGAAAAATAGACGAACGCGTCTAGAAAAATGCCTGCGACATTCTCAATAATATATTCAACATATTTTTCTCTTCTCTTTTCGCGTAATTCCATTATAAAAAGATAAATGCTCTCTGTAAATCGATTTTGATTAATGTAAGTCCAGCGACTTGTGGTCACACGAGCGTAGCTTTACGCTGTGACACTCTGTTAAAAATATTTCGTGAAAAGTGAAAAGAAAAATTATTAAAAGAAGAAAAAAAAAAAAAAGTAAAACAGATCAACTTTACGTATTAAAAATACACGCGATATATAATAATTGATATTCTAGCGGAAACGAAGGAATGTGTGTATATTGTATATTATTATACGTACATATATACATACATTTGTATATGTATATACAAGTAGTCAAAAAACCAATGTTCATCATATGTTTTGCGAATATTTCGATGGAAAATTCGGTTGTTGAATGATTGGAAGAAAGAAGAAGAAGATAAACAAACAAAAAAAAAACAATATAATAAATGAATTGTATCGCGTTTTGTACTGACGATTTTTTATCATCTCTTTTAATTAATATCTGTATCGTTCTATTTGTGTACTTACAATAATGTTTTTCGATCTCATTAATCATCGATAAGATTTTTCTATAAACGAACTTCCTCTTATTAAGAGCAAGAGTTTTAAAATCGATTTTTAAACTGATACATATACATATATATATATGTATTTTGATGTATATTATATAAGCTTTTTAATATTACTTTTTTTTTTCTGTCTGTATGAATGCTACAATAAGAAAATCACACGCCAAGTATGCTATACGTTTGCATGATGTTCGTCGATATACAAATTATAGTCTTATCTATCTATCTATCTATTTCTCCATCTATCTATCTATCTATCTATCTATCTATCTATCTATTTGCCTATTTATCTATCAATCCATTAATCTACCTATCTACCTTTTTGTCTATCTATCCGCGTCTGGATCGATAAATTTGCAAAGAAATAGAAAAAGGGAAAAAATCGTCAATACAAAAAAAAAAAACAAGAAAAAAAAATAATAATAATATATACTTCGATTAAAATAATCGGCGCGCGAAAAAAAAAGTACGGTACGCCGCGTAAGTTTGTTCTTAAAATTTTCCTGCATAAGTATTATCTTATACCTTTCTTAATCCTTGTTGCTACAGTCACGAAAATTTTACGTGAATCTGTAGTCGCTCTCGTTAAATTTGATTAAAACATTAGAAAGAAAATAAATGGTACTTGTGATTTATTGTAAAACAAGACCACCTCCATCCCAATTTTATTTTCGACATTATTTCAATGGATTATTAAATATAAAAATTAAAGCGTCGTAGGGAAGTGAATAGAGATGAATAATGTAATGCATAAATGAGTTACACGAGGAGGAAAATCGATTAAATTGCATACAATGATGATGACATAGAAGAGGAGGATAGGATGACATATGCAAATAGAAAAATTCTACTGTTATATCGATTATTTAAAAAAAAAAAAAAAGAAAATATCTATCTTTCAGGAACGATCACACACATTTTCAAATGTGAGATACGAAATTTTCGCACGCGTTCGTCATTTTTTCTGTTACAATCCTTGTACATAGTACACACAAAAAGACAAACACACAAACTGATGTATATGTACATATATTTTTTAATATGTATATAGACATATTATTATACATTAGACTTAATGTAGAGCAAAATCTATATATAAATATAAGCTTTCTCGATAGCCAAAGCGATCATAGGAAGAAGGGAAAAGTACTGTCCCCCTCTTCCGTGTTCGGTCACTGGTACTCGTAAGGTCATTGCATGTCAAATCGATCACTTTCTATAGCAACGAAATAGAGTAATGTAATTTTCCTTCGAAATCAAATACAGTAGTACTCGCCAAAATATAATATTTATATAGATAAATGCATTATACAATATGCATATATATGTATAAATGAGATTTAGAGACAAATATTTTCGAAAAATACCGTTGCGTTGCCAGTGCATCAATATTTGAAATGATGAAGAATCAAATTCAAAATAAAATCAAATCAAATCAAATCAAATGAAATCAAATAGAAAGAAACGCAAAAGCAATATGAGAAAAATAAGAAAAAAACAAAAAAAAAAAAAAATAGAATAAAATAAATAATTGGAAAAGTTAAACGTCTGACAAAAAATAATATGAGACGAATAAAGTGAGCGATTTCACGTGGAGTGATCCTGGAGAAGAGAAAGGAGGTGCGTTAACGAAGATTGGATGGTCTTTCAGGAGGAGGAAGCAGCGGTGGCAGCAGCGGCGTTAGTGGTGGTGGTGGTGGTGGTGTAAGCGGAAGCCTCAATAGCAGCGGTGGTGGAAGAGGACGTGGTGGCATCGGAGGACCACCAGGGATGGGAATGGGTATTGGAGGTGGAGGAGGTGGTGGACCAGGAATGCTTGGCAGAGTAACCGGAGGAGGAGGGGGCTTTGGTCGTGGTTCGCATCACGGTGGATTTATCGGAAGTGGAGGAGGCCCTGGTGCTATGAGAATGGAAAAATTACATCAGCATCGTTTCAATCCGATCGGTATGGGCGGTGGATACGTCCAGCCACATTTTTGGTGACCATCGAGGAACAAGAACTCGACAAGCACTGCGACTATACTATCTACTACTACTACTACTACTACTGCTACTACTACTACTACTACTACTACGACGATGACGACGACTGCGACGGCGACAACGACTGCAGCAGCGATTACGGAGATGGCAGAATTAGTTATGCCATCAAGCATAACTATCACGTCACTATCTTTACCCCATACAGGAAACCCTAAAGACGATCGATCTTAATTATCCGTCGGGAAACGAACTTTGTTATTTCGAGTGATCGTCAAGTGCTTTCGGGCTATTCCTTGTCTTTAGCATTTTATGGGTTTTTTATTCTCTTATTTTTTTTTCCCCCTTTTTCTTTTTCTTTTTTTCATTTTTTTTTGTTCTTCCTACAAACTATTGGCCGCAAATGATCTATACCATTTTTTTCGGGCTGTAAATTAAACTTTTCGATCTTAATTTCTTTCTACTTTCTTATCTTCTATTTTAATTCACATACAAACACGTACACGTACACGTAAACACGCGCCACATACACACACACACACACACGTACAGTGAGTCACAGGAGTATTCGTATATTTATTCTATGTGTGTTTTAAATAACTGATATTTTTTTCTCAAGTTCTAACAGAAAAAAAACAATATATTTAAATATTATTAAATTTAACATTGATATAAATTTTATTATTAACGAGTCAATAAATCTCATCGTTGGATAAATATGATTTTATTTAAATAATTAAAAAATTGGTTTCTCAATATATGTCAAATGTTCACAAAATAATATTTCTCTCTTTAATAAAATTTATATTAATTTGAGATTAGAATAATTTTAAAATAGGTTTCTCTATGTATAAGAATTTGGAAGCTTTGTATCACAAGTAGATATCTATTATATAAAATGAACAGTAGATGCGGATACTAATAATCCTGTAAGCCACTGTATATACACGAATTACTCTATCCCTCGAAAACTTTACGATCGCTCGAACGTCCATTCCGTATTATCGGGGTTATAATAGCTAGCAAGGATCGATACATTCTTACGTTTTCAAACTATGTCAGTGCTCGCGTTATATGTAATAATAAGTAAACAAACAAACAAAACAAAACATAAGAAATTCGTAAAGTAAAAGAAAAGAATGGTAATAAATAAAAAGTAGGTGTTAAAATCCCGTTGCATAGCCCATGCCGTGATACACATTTTAAAATTAACGTGTCCGCATTCGGGCTAAAATCGTTAAGCGAAAACTTTAAAAAAAAAAAAAAAAAGAGTTCTATATACATGTTGTTGTAGATTTCATTTTTAATGGTTCTAACTTTAAACTTTATCCGATGTTTCAATTTTAAGAAAAGTTTTATTCGAGTCAGCTTCAAGCGTCAAAATATATTCCCTGATTCTATGCAACGTTGGATATCGATGGTATAATTAATATATATTATATTAATTGTATTAATATAGTATATATATTCTGATGTTTGGTAATTGCGCCCATAACGTTCTTATTATTATTATTATTATTATTATTATTATTATTATTATTATTATTATTATTATTATTATTATTATTATTATTAGAAAAAATAATTTGATGTAAGTTAATTTTTATTTATACTTCTTTCTTAACTTGTGTTCAGGGTAAAAATGAGAAATTCAATTAATTTTCCAAAACAAAACAAAAAATAACTTACATCGAATAAACTTTTCCTGTTCCCATTCGTTTTTAATTAGCTGCTAGTAATATATATGCTCTGACATAACGTATTGAATTTACGCGTGAGGGATAGAACACTTAGATACTTTACTAGCAAAAAACATGATCTTCTTAAGCTTATGACTTTATATCCCGCGATAAGATAATACTTTTATCTACTTCCACTTGTATTTTAATGTTAATGTCAATGATTTGTCTCGTCGATCCGTTTCATTTAGTTTTTGTTTTAAATTATAACTAAATCGAAAGAGAAAAAAAAAAGAAGAAGATAGACAAAAATCGTGTATGAAAAAACAGCCAAAACTAGAGAGAAGAAATTTTTGAATATAATTATTTAATGATCTTTAATCATTAAATTATAATGGAAACATTTCGTCTATGCTGTCGATATTGCTTTTTTTTTTCTTTTTTTCTTCATTATTTTATTTCTTTACTTTATTTTATTTTTTTTTCAATTGTAATAGAAACCAAAAGAAAATTTTTAATAAATAACGAGGTTCTTAGTTTGTAACACCAAATGTGCGATGTTTGAAATTATTTTTGTTTCTTTTTTTTAATTCATTATGCCTGCTAAATTGTTTATTAACGAACTGTGACATAAAAGTACAAAGTTTCAATATTTACCATCGTTATCCTCGTGCACCGCGATACATGTATGTAAATATTGGGAAAAACGTATTAATTGCGATATCTTATAGAAAATGAGACTGACTTTTTATATAGGGACAAATTTTAAGCTAGCGTGCTGCAACGTATCGAAGTCACGTTTACGGTACCTTTGCTAACTGCAACGGATTGCTCTTGTCTCTCTTTCTTTCTATCATTCTTTCTATTTCTCTCTCACTCACTCTCTCTCTCTCTCACTCACTCTCTCTCTCTCTCACTCTCACTCTCATTCTCACTCTCTCTCTCTCTCTCTCTCCTCTTTCTCTCTTCCTTTTCAATTTCGTTTAGTAAATTTTAAGATCATATTAATGCTAGGAAAATAATATAAAGGAAGGTTGTGCACTATCTTTTAAACATCGGAGATATTCGTTTAACAGGGTAGAAGAAATTCAATAAACGTTTCATCATTGTAAAGAAAATGATTAATAGACGTTTAAATTATATTTAATTACGTTTTAGAATAATAATTTAACGGCAGTTATCGTATATTTGATATCTCATTTGATATCATACATACACACGCGTGCACACATTACATACACATATACATATACACGTTCCACATAGACAACACATTTTGAAAACTTTCTAAACATTATTTATTGTCGTTGGTAATCGTTGAAGATTATAAATGCGTCCACATTTATTTATAGGACGTATATAATAATAGGAGAATATATAATTGCGAGAAAATGTTAAGAATAATAATAATAATTATTATTATTATTATTATACAAAGACAAAAAAGTTCTCACAATTAAATGATATATTTGAATATAGGATATATCGCATTAGAAAAGTGGCATGTTGGTGGGTGCGTGGATCGAAGATCATATTATTGATGAAGGGATTTGTTATTTAAAAGACGGTTTTGTTCCTTCGACAATAACAACATTGCTATGCGGTTTACGAAGAGAATAAAGTTGAGAATTATAGTTGAGTTTAACGTAGGAGATCTTAACGTGTTCGCAAGTCGTCTTACCTCATTTTTATTTTCATAAAAACGAAGTAAACGAAGTAAGCGCGTCAAGAGGCTGCTTCGTTTTTATATACGATTATTAAAAAAAGACACGAGAAAATAAATGATAAATCCGAATATACAAAAAAAAATAAAAAAAATAAAAATACATATATATATAAAAAAAACAACAAAATAAAGAGAGAAAATGAAAAGAAATCGATGTGCAACGTTATAATATCTGCTTCCGTTTAGAAACATTTCTTGCACAAAGGAAGATTTAAACGTCAACTTAACAGAGCCAATATGAAGATAACGAACAAAAAGGTATTTCTAAAATTTATGACTTCGCACGAATGGATGTACCAAAAATTTGAATAAATACTATGATTCTATTAACGATCTCGTTACGAATATTCTTCTAATTCTAAATAAGAAAAAGTATAGAGAATAAAAACAACAACAAAAATATGATAAAGGGATGAAGAACTAATGTGAGTAATAATTATGATCAGGAAGAAGATGCGTAAAGGACAGATTAAAAAATACGTGTATATATTGAAACGAATATGAGAAGATACGAATTAATTAAGTTTTATTTTTATCATTTCTTTCTTTCTTTCTCTTTTTTCTATTTTTCTCTTTTTCTCTCTCTCTCTCTCTCTTTCTTTCTCTCTCTCTCACTCGAATATATAAATGCACGTATACACGCAGATTAACGGTTAAAGAAAAGCTTACAGATCACAGAAACATAACATACGTTTATATCACGTAGTCAAAATTGGTGTGTGTCTCTGTCAGTGAATTGAATCCATCGATGAGGTTCACCGGATACGATGTTGCCCTTCAAAAGGCAGCTAGCATTTTAATAAAGCAAAGTGCCCGTTGACGAGCCGCAGCGTAACCGATTTCAAACAGGTTCCTTGTGTGTCTCGAGAAGTGAATTCGTTCAAACTGTTCTAAAAATGATTAGAAAAATATAGACGTGTACTATATATATTTTACGTATACCTGAATATACAATGGCATTACAGAAAGAAAGAAAGAGAGAGAGAGAAAAAAAAAATATATATATATATATATATACAGGAGAATTAGGATTTTAAAATATGAATCAAACGATATCATCGGAAAATTATTCTACATACTCTCTTTAGAAACTAAAATAATCCAACAAATTGTAACTGAAAATCACACTCGAAGAAAAAGATATCTGTGTATATATATATATATATAATAAAACAACTTTTGTAACACACGTATGAAAGATTTAACAAGATTATATATATATATATATACACTCAAGATAAAATTCTAAGGAATCTTGAAGGAAATAACACTCGAATTTCATGCATGCACGAGAACAAAAATTAATAGTACGTGTGTATTCCGGAAAAGAAAAAAATAAAAAGAAAATAAAGGGGGAGGAAAAAAGAAAGCAAGAGGTGTTAAAACGTGGAAAACGCACGTGTGTAAGCTGTACGAGAAGCACTCGTTGATTGAGGATTCTTGAGTTAGTGCGGGAAACTTTATAAATGGCATAATCTCTCCACCCACAGGATGCTGCGGCCTAAAGATTAGCCGCGAGGACGGTAAACTCGTCAGAAGGAAACAGGAAGGGGCGGATAGCTGCCACAGACCGAGATATCATTATGCTTTCGGCATATGGATTTAGCTATGCACGAAGAATATTTTCTGGATTGAGAATAAAAGAGGATAATAGTGTGTGTTTGTGTATTCGCGCGTGTGTATATGTGTGGTGTCTCTTTTTTTTTCTTTCTCTCTCTCTCTCTCTCTCTCTCTCTCTCTTCGATATCATCAAGGCCGCTATACTTTCCGCTTATTAAAATTATGTTAAGAATTAACAGAACCTTTGTTTTTTTTTTTTATTTTTTTAGATTATCTTACAACGAAAAACACTTTGTTGACTGGTATCACGAGGAGTATATACGTAATTGCATATATGCATGGAATTTTACGTAATTATTAAAACACTTTAATGTAATATTACGTAATTTGAAAAGCTATTAGTATTTCAGTGACCACTCGTCAATTTTCCTTTGTTTTTTAAACGTTTTTTTTAATGATTTTTCATAATATACATAGTTGGTCAACAAAGCGTTTAAAAATTCATCAATTTAAAATATTTATATCTAAATATAAGAATAATTAATTTTATATTAACTTTATATATTTGCTTAGTTTGTTCTCCTTTTTTTTCTTTTTTCTTTTAAATCTGAATTTTCCGAAATCTCGCATGATTTATCGTGAAAACACATGTAACATGCGTTTTATAATAATTTCGTTCCTCGAAATAAGCAATCAACGATCGACGTTTGTATAGAAATTTTTGTTAAGGTTTTAACAATTATTTTTCAGAGATTTTTTTGTTTCCTGCGGCAACCAACACGTTGATCATGCCACACATTTCCGTGATAAAACAAGTGTGTGTTACGAGTTAAAGATTAATTCAACTAATTCTGCTTGACCGCTTGAAATTTGAACAAATTTCTTCCTCATACGCACTAACACACAGATACACACATATATACATAATACATAAATACATTTATAAATACCTATGCACACACAATGTAATACGTTCATCAAATATCTATTGTATATACGTAAAAATACAGAAGAAGAAAAAAGATACTATACACAATCGATATTTTGTTAAAATTAAACTCGGAGCATTATATCGGATAGCTTATTGGCTTACGTACGAACGCGGACGCGAAAAGTGAAGCTTAAAAATTGTCGTCTGTGTTAAAAAGTGTTCCTCCTCCGTCTCTCGACACACCGTTTACGAAGAATTTTTCTCCGGTTCGTTAGTCGTGATAATTTTATATATCTTTCTCGTCCCCCTTTTTTATTTTTTTTTTCTCTCTTTCTCTCTCTCTCTTTCTCTTTCTCTCTCTTTCTCTCTTTCTCTCTCTCTCTCTCTCTCTCTCTCTCTCTTTCTCTCTCACACTCTCTTTCCGTTTTATTACTTACACCCGTTTATCTTTCATTAACTCTTAACACATCTTTTTTGTTGTTGTTGTTGTTGCTTGACCAGACAGAAAATTATTCTTATTTCTTTTTTTTTCCTTTTCTTTTTTTCTTTATAAATTTCCATTTTGTTTGTTTGTTTTTTCTTTTTTTCACTTTTTTCTCTGTTTTTTTTTTTTATTTTCACTCTATTTAATGTGTATCTATCTACTACGTCGTTTTCTTTCAGCAAAACCTCAACGTTCTCCGTTCTCAACTCACATGGATACATCGGGACGTCGTGCTGTGAAATAAACGCGCATCTGTCGCACGTATGTTTTGTATTAAAAAGACTCAAGAGGAGAGAAGAAAGCTGTTATCCTCTGTCACACCACGTCATATAATGAGAAAAAGAGAGAGAGAGAGAGAGAGAGAGGGGTCGAGGTAAGAAAAGGCTACAACCATTCGCTATGATACTTTCTTGGATCTCCTTTACAAAGCATCTTCTTCTTCTTCTTCTTCTTCTAACGCAATTCATCGAGGGATGTGAATTTGCCGATTAAAAATTTGGTTTACCTCACGGAACTATTAAAAAAAGAAAAAAAAAAAAATCAACGGAACGCGCGGAAACAAAATAAGAGATACATAAATGATCGTCCTAGGTAAAACTTTAATTTTCATTATATATCAAACACACATACGTGAACGAATAATTGTTTACTGTTGCGTAAAATTGTTGCCATAAGTTAAAGAGATCTCTCTCTCTATGTCGAGAGGATTTGTTTAAGATTTAAGAGATTAGAGAAAAAGTTTAATCCATTTCTCCCGGTTTTTTCTTACGTTCTTTTTTTTTCTTTCATTTTTAATTTTTTTTTTTCATCCCAATTCAATCTTTCTATTTCAATTCATACGTGCCATTTCGGATAAAAGATTATATTATAGTATGTCAATATTTTATA